TCTCATAAATATTTGCTTGAGAGCTTGAGACCTTCGAATAACAGTGTCAAATAATATTTAATAACATTGCTCAAATAAGGAAAATAGTTCTATCTTAATTTTTTAAAATCGTTGAGAAGGATCTTGCTAAATACTCCTTAAAATCAAGTTAAAAAAAGGTCAAGCAGATAAAGGTCGGTAAATTTTTATAGTTATTTGGATCGCCATGATTTAGAATTACGTCGTTTTTTTTTTACATATCTTGAGGACAAAATTGTTTAGACTAAAAGTATCAGAATATAAAGGTATATCTGTGAATATGGAGGTTAATTTCCCGTAGAACTGTATTATCCATGTTATGATAAGGATTTTGCCAAATACTCATTAAAATCAAGTTAGAACCAGATCTATGCAGATTATGGCCGGTCAATTTTCATTTCTCTTTAGAGTGCCATGATTTAGCACTATACGTCGACTTTTTATATCTTTAGAATAAAATTGTTTTGCCTAAAGGTATCAGAATATAAAGGTATATATATATAAATACACTTTGCAAGATTACAACTATTCGGTGTTATATAGATATATAATATATATAGATAAATGTGAGTAATAAAGTAAAAGGATCTGTAACCTACTCAAGTATTCATGACAATATTACTCAGCTCACAAACATCCTAGATGTGTGTAGATAAACACGTAAAAGGTGTCATACAGACAACTTTTAAGGTTCAAGTTAGAAAAACACATTTTAAAGGGACTGTAAATGTAATTTAAGGGATTCTTCAAGGGTCCGATTTAGGTATTTATAAAACCTTGTCTGATCAGGAATTGTTGAGTTGATTTTTTTAAAATTATTGATTCTTTACAAATGAATATAAGACTTTTGCTGCAGCAAAAATGGATGAAGTAATAATAATTTCAAAAAACGTTACAAGCTTAAAAAACCGATGATTTTTCCCATTTTGTTGAGATCAATTTAAGGTTGTTGGCTGTTGCTTTTTTTAAATGCAGGGTCACTTGAAATAACACCAACGGAGCCTTAAAGTTAATATTTTTTGACATTCTGGTTTTTTCTTTTGATTAATTATATCGGATGTCGAGACAGTTTTGTTTTCTGAACAAGACAAAGTACTGGGTAAATTTGAATGCAGTAAAGGTACTTCCAAATTCTACACTTTACACTCTGCACTCTTAACTCCACACTCTACACTCTACACTCTACACTCTGCACTCTACACTCTACACTCTACACTATACACTGTACACAATAACTCTACTCTCTAAACTATCTACTCTTTAAACTCTACACTCTAAACTCTAAACTCTGCTTCAAAATAAAATTAATATTAATATATCCCCCCTTCCCCCCACCCTCTCTAATTTTCCCTCTATAAGTGTTTGTTTTAGTTCGATCATTTTCAACGAACGATGTGTCACAATATACATATTTTTATACTATAATATGAAATATATGAGAATATTAATATTTCTCGATTATGCCAAAAGTTATTTGAATACATTATTTCATCGTGTGCTCTTGTTTCTGCAGAAAGTAATTAAGTCTTTTCCACAAACTCATATTCTCTAATCCATATATCTTTGCAAACTTGTTGTGCAAACATTTATATTTTAAACTTATTATTTGTTCTTATAGATTTTACAATTTACATAGGATAAAATCGCACCCTGATCTTCCTTTTAAACCTATTTAATTGAAATGTTTTGTTATCATTATTGAAGTCAGGTAAAAAAGTAATCAAAACAGCCAATAGCTATTTTCCACCTAATTGCGTCATACTTGTACTGTTAAAATAATTATCAATTGGTAATTGTAACATCGTTCTGTTTACACAGATACATGTATTTTTGCAATAAAAGTTATCTATCTATCTATCTATCTATCTATCTATCTATCTATCTATCTATCTATCTATCTATCTATCTATCTATCTATCTATCTATCTATCTATCTATCTATCTATCTATCTATCTATCTATCTATCTATCTATCTATCTATCTATCTATCTATCTATCTATCTATCTATCTATCTATCTATCTATCTATCTATCTATCTATCTATCTATCTATCTATCTATCTATCTATCTATCTATCTATCTATCTATCTATCTATCTATCTATGTATCTTTCTATCTATCTATCTATCTTTAAGGTCTACAACGAGGTTTTCGAAGAAATTGTTATTTATATTTTCGTTTAAACATTAATCCGAAGATTTACGACATTGAACTTTTTCTTAATTTTATACATTAACTCATGAAAAAATAATCATACAAAAACATAAATAGATATTTAAATAACATCTTAAATATTTGAATCTTATATATTCTTAAAATTGTCAAAAATTCAAAAAACTTTTCTAAATTACGAACTTGTTGTTCTAAATTACTAACTGGTTGTTCGAAATAACTAACTTCCTGTTCTAAATTACGAACATGGTATTAGGTATTTAATTATTTATGAGATAAATCTCAAACTAAAGGCGGTGAGCGACACAAATTTCTATGAAATACTACAAATAAAAATACTTTGTTTCATTTCTTTTCCCAAGTTTCAGTAACTTTTTAATCATTTTTATTAAAAGAAGGGTAAGAAGGGTTAACACAAGAACTATCAACAGAGATATCATATTATGATTTTCACAATGATTTAGATATCAAGGTTTAAATCAGATAGTACAGAGAGAATATTATAAAGAGGAAAGATATGATATGAACTTATTCAGTCACTCTAAAGGGGGACTGTAACTTGTAAGCGTAATTTCAAGTTGCCTAACAAACAACGGTTCCCTTAAAACCTTTGTGTGTTTGTCAATACAGAGATATGAGTGTGTAAACTTATCGAAATCCATGTGTATTCAGATGTAAATTCCAGTGCGTGCTACCTACACTTGTTCAAAAAGAAGTACCAGGGCCCAAAAGGTTCAAGAGCTCAAATGTGTGAAGTACGCTTTTAGTACGGTACCTGTAAAACAAAATGGCGGTTTTACACTTATTTCGACTTAAATATACTCTTTAAAGTATTCTCCTGTGCTGTAGCATAAAAGGAATTGAGTCTTTACATTCAAACTCATTTGTTTTAACTTTTAAATGCTACTTTCCTGTAACTGCGACCATAATTCTTAAGAAAAAATGTCAGATTTCGCAGATTTTCTTTGAATTCCACCAACGTTTTTTTAAATTTAAATCTTTGTTTAGACTAATTTAATTTTCAACAGATATTTAAACCTTTCTTGAGTCCGATCGGTTCAGCCGTTTTGTCGTTTATTCGATGCAAACAAACAAAGAAGCAGTCAAGACAAATAAATATATACAAAGATGTAAACGCAACTAAAGTGTACTGTAGTTTGTTGGCAGAACACTACAGGGTTACCAACAAAGGATGAGACTTCAGAGACGATTGTTTAGTACCTTTTCTTATATTCAGGCTCCCCTGCAGGCCATCACATGGTTTATTTCTGTGAAATTAATAAACTTATAAGCAATTAGAATTATCATTTTTAAACAGAAACCAAAAATCAAACTGTACAAATCGTCATGTTTTAGGAGTTTTGGTCGTCTTTACTCTTTACAGGCTCTTTCTTCATGCATTAAGATGTTGTACAAGAATGTAAAAAAAAACACATTAGTAAAACAAATTCAAAATCGAGTTTTACAATCGAAGAATTGTATTTTAAGAGTTCTTGTTTATAATTGGATATATTGTATCCTCTTCAATATAAATAAATATAAATAGACACTGAAGAGTGGAGGGAGGGGAGGTGGGGAGAGGTCTGTTTAAAAAAAAACAAAATTACAATGTGAAATAAAAATAGCAGCTTGAAATTAAATGCATTAAGCCAAGCTATAACAACCTTTTTTTTCGAATTTTATTTTTAAATTTCATTTGTTGTACATCTATATAATAAAACAAGACATTCGTATATGTACATGTTGCGTAAAGCCGGCAAAACGGGTGGAAAGAGAAAAATTAGAGTCAAAAACCACAAACCATCTTTAACAGCTTATTTTATAAAGGGATTTCAACTTTTATGTGATCATTAATGTAAAAGATATCTGCACACTGTATCTGGTAAACAAACTTTAAATTATACCATCAGTCCCTTTAATCATTAATATATTTAGCTGCACACTGTATCTGGTAAACAAACTTTAAATTACGCCACCAGTCCCTTTAATCATTAATTTATTTAGCTGCACACTGTAGCTGGTAAACAGACTTTAAATTACGCCACCAGTTAATCATTAATTTATTTAGCTGCACACTGTAGCTGGTAAACAGACTTTAAATTACGCCACCAGTTCCTTTAATCATTAATTTATTTAGCTGCACACTGTAGGTGGTAAACAAACTTTAAATTACGCCACCAGTCCCTTTAATCATTAATTTATTTAGCTGCACACTGGAGCTGGTAAACAAACTTTATAAAAAACACTGATTAATAAAAACTAATCTGTAAAACTTGATTTTCAACAAAGACACGGTACATAGTTCAAAAATATTGATGTTAACAAATTTAAAATGATTTAACACATTTTAGGAACTGTCAACAGTGTTAAATATAAAATGGAAATGATTTTTACATAATTATACGGAAAAAAAGTTTGAAACATATTTTATAAATTATGTTTAAATTAATTAAACTTTTCTGTACACCATAAACAATGTTCAACCTGCTACGTATTTACAGTTTACAAAAATCATTTGGTTTGGCACAATAGGGTGAAAAAACGTTAAATTTATGTAAAATGTATGTATTGGAAAATCCGCAAAATTATTTTTCACAAAATACTGAATAAATTTAGACATATATTTAACATATTTTGATTCTTATTTAAACTTTAAGATTTGAAGAAAAAGTTATAATTTTCCTAGCGGGGGGTGTCGTATAGACCAGATTTAGTTTTTAGAGGATAATCTTTTCTATACGTAAAAACCTCTTTAATGAATCAGAATTATTTCAGTGCATTCACTGATAGAAAATGATTGCTATGCAATAAATTTGTACAATCGTTTATTTCAATATAAAATGACAAATAAACGAGTACTCGACCTTTCCAGGGGGGTTGGCGAGGTCGTCATCTCTAGCTTACTTCTATACTCCAGGCTCTCAGTATGCAGAGAGTCGAAGTATGAAGGGGAGGAGGGGAAGAGAGGAACGCCCACTCTAACCTCTACCAGTGATTTTAAATAATAGAATAATATTAACGACGATTGGCCATGTACTTTATAGTAAACCCTGAAACTATAGAAAACATCAAGAATAGAAAATGTAATCTTGTAATATCGATTTATGTGAAATGGGCTTTAATTAGTGTATTATATACCTAAATATTAATTCTGATTTACCAAGCAGCAGACTTTTGTCAACTGAGACCTAAATCTGGCTCAGAGCATACTGCAGTACAGTGTACAGTGCATACAGTACATGTTTATTTTTGTAATCAGGTTTCTGTATATTCATCCTTCTCCAGGGTCCCTGCAGTACAGTAAGGAGCGGGGGGAGAGAGAATATTCACACATTATGTTCAATTTCTTCTGTATTGTACAGCTTGTACAACAGGGAGGGTGGGCTTTTTAATTTTTCTAACTTTTCTGGAAACCAAAATTATTTTACAAGGGGAGGGGTCATACCCCCGTAGCCCCCCCCCCGGCAAATAAACTTCACATTAAAATTTGTTCACCCAGAAAATCTATCTCTTTTGAATAAACCACATTTTGACATAAAACATAAACTTTATTTGAAATATATTTAACAAAAGATAATTTATCTTTCTAGCATTGAATATAAATGATGATTCATTGTGAGATTTCTTACTGTATGCTGTCTGTAAAATATTCATGTCGTAGAAAAGGAATTTACGAAAATATTCTGACAAAACATTGAATAAATAAATTGAAAATATTAATAAAACTTTGTTCCTTGCTTTGTTTCAAATAGAGCTTAAAGAGACTGCAGACGTACTTTCAATTGACCCTGCAGAGTGCAGTTATACACAGTTTAAAGGGACTGCAGACGTAATCAAGATAGACAGTGAACTATTTATTTCAGGGATTACAAGAGTGATTGTCATTATTATTCATTTTAAACTTTTTAAAAATTTGTTAATTTAAACAAAAAAAGGGTGTTTCATGACAAATAAATTTGATTTTAAAAATAATGAATGCTTTTAGTGAAATTTTCCAAACAAAAGGAATCAATTAAAGAACTACCATCTTAACCCTATGTATAGCCTTGGAGGAGGGGCGTTTGGCGCCCCCCCTAGAAAAAGGCCTTAAAGAATAGGCAAAGGGTTAAAATGCATATTCATGGCCCAATTTTTCCTGGCGAGCTCAAAGAAAAAAAAATTAGACCGATAACTTTAACAGCTTGGGTGCTAGGGAGGGTGTGAATGCCTAAAAAAGGGTAAAATAAATGAAAAAAATCTTTTTTTTGTTTTAAGCAAATATTAAAGTGTGACACGTGTTTCTACATGCATTTTTCAAGGGCTTTTAAAAAAAAGGTTTTAGATCTGTAGCGTTAGTCACAAAAAAGTTATGGACCATTTTAGCTTTTTTTCACAGACCGGATTTTTTTTCCGTCCTTTACCCTACCCTATAAATTAAAGACGATTAAAAGTCACAAAATTTCACGGTGATAGTGTCAAAAATGAGAGTGCTAGGACAAAAAAATCTACAGTATCACTGGGGAGGGGGGGGGGGTTGTGGAAAGATTTCCCCGCCTTTTTACGGTTGAAATATAGTATATAACATTTTATATTTACTTCTTAGTTTACAGATCTGTAAAATCTATATAGTTGCAGTCTTTAGATATGAAACATATTTACAAATCTATATAATAAAAGAAGACATTCGTATATATATATATACATATATATTGCTTATAGCCGGCCAAACGGCTGGACCGATTGGGCTGAATTTTTTTGTGGACACTCAGGGGTGGTCGGGGAGTGTTATAGGCTAAATAAAAGAAAAAAGAAAATTTTCTTTTTCAATTTGTTTTTTTCAAAAAGAAAAATTCCACGGGCAACGCCGGGCTCTTCAGCTAAGTAAATAAAGGATTATTTATTTGAGACCTGAAAGAAACTGTAAGCGTTCTTTCAAACTACCATCCTTTCAAAGATTTCAATGCCCGATTTAAAACGGTACCTTAACACCTTAATCTGATCAAATATGTGGAAGATAACGACGGTTTCTGACTCGAACAGGATTTAAATCTGAAAATTTCTCCATTTTTTATCAGCAGGAATTGCGCATGTTATACTTTAACAGAGAGTCCAGAAAAAAAATAAAACATTTTAAAAAAAGCTTGAATATCTAAAAAGTAATTCTAGATTTAACAAACTTTTACAGGGTACCTTTGTAAATCAGACACTGCAATCTTCCCGCAGAGGGTCACTTGAGATTAGGCTTACAGTCCCTTTAAGATACAATGTTTCATCTCGGTTGGACTTTCGTAAAATTTTCCTTTCGGAGAAAGTTTCTTTCTGAATGTGAAGTAAATGTTTATCTTTAAAGAGAAGCTTCTCGTAAATATGTATTTTTAAATAAACATAATAAATGATAAGGACCTTAGTAGAAAAAAAGAAAAATGAATTTTTTCAATAAAATTTCCATCTACAGTGATAACCAGAAAACTCTGGAATAGGAAGACGACTTTCAAATTCAAGTTGTGACTTTAAATAGTCCAACGAGCATGAGACGCAGCAATTAAGCAGTGTAAATAGAACCACTTCATGTGATAAGTGATTTAATAACTTACAAGTAAAGCTATTTGCTTTGAAACAACACCAAATGCACTTCAATATTGCTATAATGTCGTCTTCCTATTCTACAGTTTTCTGGTTATAGCTGTAAGATATAAATAACATTTATACCACTAATGATTTCAGATGAATATGTTTTTTTTGCTTTTCTTATTTCACTTTTCTCATGCTAAACTGTTTCGTCAGGTAATTTGAAGAATTAAAGCTTATCTAAATTCTAATCCATTATTTGCTCTAAAATTAGGCCTTCAAAAGCAGGCTTAATACTCGAAAATGTCTTTCTTACATTAATGTATATAAAAAGGAGTGGCCGGCAATTTATGAACTGAGAATGTTGTATTGTGGACATTATTTTAGGATTCATTTGAGACATAATAATCGTTTTAATGATATATGATTACTGAGTTTGAGCTCAAAGTCAAGGTTCAAAATTATCCATTGAAACGTTTTGAGAATCGATTTTTTAAAATTTATTAAATAAAATTCCAGGAAATCTACAGAAAATGTTTGTAAACAATGAGACAGAAATCAATTACTGAATAAGATTACTTATTTTCCATGATAATAGTTAATTTTTGTTTTCTCAACCTGTTCCTAAACAACTTATTAGTTTACTGAATAATTTTTACTACAGTTTTCGTCGTCGTTATTGAATAATTTTTTAAAAACCGATTTTCAAAATCATCCCTCCAAAATGAACAATCTGTTAGGATTTCTCCACAATACTACATTCTCAGTTCAACTACCATACATTGCCGGTCCCTCCCTTTAATAATATCATTTTATTTAAAAGAGAACTTGTACATCTTAGAATATCAGAGCCTTAGGACATTAAGAATTTCGTTAAGATATGTAAAGCTTACAAGTGGTTTAACATTTTTAATATACATTAAGTTATTACAACGCCATTGAGTGTATCTTAATTATCATGTTTAATAACACACCCTGTGTTTCAGGGCCTACTACCTCCCCCAATGACCAATGTTCCTGTTCCGCAGGTACTGTTTTTAACAAATGAAACAAAAATATTTTTTTTAAAATTTCATTGTCACAATTTTGCATTTAAGGTTTAATTGTAAAAGTACAGAGGACGGTACGGTAACGAAAGCAAAGTTGAAAGAATTAAATTATTTTTACAAAAAAGTCATTTTTTACAAAAAATATCCTTTATCAATTGTTATAAAAATCATTATTCACATCAAACGATCTTTTTCTTTTTTATCTGCGAAATCGACAATTAATAAAATAAATCAAAAATCAGTATTTTACATTAATCATGATTTTTATTAAGAGTTTAATTAAAATCTAACGCATAAAAACTGTAAAAAAGTTTATAAAATTTAGATTTTCCAGCCCTTTTACTATTTATATATATATTCAAAATTGTAGATGGCGAGAAAAAATTCTTTACATTATTAGGTTTTATTGACATGATGTAACAATTTGAAAACAAATCTTAATTGTTTCTTTGAAAATTTTCCCTTTTTATGCCAAATCATGAGCTAATGGCTTGTTTGTTTGTTTGTTGGTTTTGGCGTTTATTTGTTTGGAAATTCGTCAAACAAATGTTTAAAAATCTGCAAGTTGTTTAGTTTTACAATTTATAAAATGGCATCAGTTGAACTTAAAAGATGAACTCCTTTAAAATAATAATATAACTTTTTTTAAAATTTATTATCAAGGTCCAAAAATTGTTTTATATTTACAAGATCTAAAAATTGAACATATGTTTAATTATAATTATAAAATAGAAAAACTTTTAAAGTCATCAAAAATACACTAATTTGAGTTAAATATCAACATTAATTAGAACATAACCATTCCTATCCTTCTCATCATTCTCATTATAAGTTAGAATAGAAAGCACTCTCAGCCTTTCATTGTTATTGTAAACATTCATTAAACATCACAAACACCAAACATTCTGCTAATGTTATAATTTCTGCAAGGGATGGGTGAATAGGTGAACTAAAATCTAACATAATAGGATTTAGGACGCTTGGTGCCCATCTAGCGTCTAAATTTCTACTTTTAATCGTGGCTTTATCTGTGAGCATCTTCTTTTTGTAACAATATAAAACAATAACAAAAACGTTCGTGGATTTAATAACATTTTGAAAATTTATCAAAAATTAAGAACTTTTGGACACACATTTTTTAAGTTTTGGTCATTCACAAACCTTCCTTATGTGAGGTCCTACACAAAATTTGGGCCGAATCCGTTCAGCCGTTTTGCAGTTTATTGAATACAAATGGTTTGGTTTGTAACTTCTAAGTTTAGTAAGTTAACTTTTGTAGAGAAAGTTAAGTATCCAAACAAAGCTGGGGTTTTCAGTTAGTTACTAAAATTTTCTATGCACAAAACAATTAGTTCTAATATTATGCAAATTTAGGATAAAGTGATTAGAGAAACTGATTACCCACCTCAAACTCTAATTTTCAATACTTGATCACGTTGACCCTAACAAGTTTTCAAATAATGAGGAGATAGTTTAAAAAGTTTTAAACTAGAGTTTGAAGCGTGTTAAAATGCCTTCCAATATTTGAATTTACAGTGATGACACACATGTAAATGCTCATATCTAGTATACTATAAACTGTCTATAGGAATCCTGGTTCAATTAAACCTTAGAATATTTTAAACCTAGAGATACAAGATCTAGTATACTATAAACTGTCTATAGGAATCCTGGTTCAATCAAACCCTAGATCATTTTAAACCTGGAGATACAAGAACCTGGAACCAAAGATATTGGATAAATTGGGAGCATTTCAGGTATTCATTTTTGTAAGACATAAACTTTCTTATAAAACATTTAGCGTTTTATTGTTGCTCTTCAAGTTGCCATTCTTTCTTTGTATTAGTAAAACTTAATTTTTTCATGGATTCTTCTTTTAAATTGGTATATTTTGAAATAATAAATGTCGAATTATTTTCTAGACAATATTTTTCACCTTTCACGGTCAAAATATCTTACCTGGGGTCATGTGAGTTGCAATAAATAATTTGGACTAAATCGGTTTTAAGTTTTTTTTTGATACGGACATCTAGATATTTAAACTTTTATAATCTCCTGCACATGTATCCAATAAACGATAAAAGGGACCCTAAAGGAGGTTTTGGCTTGTCAAAATTTAAAAACTTTACAAAAAAGGAAATCTGCGAAATTTGAAATGTACATACAAGAAAAGGTAGATATGTCAACAACAAGCTATAAGGTTTTTGAGAAATCAAAGAAATCTCTCCTCTTAGCCTATAAGTCTTGTAAATATTCCTTGATTTAAGACCTGGAGGCCCTGTTCTGCTGATGATTGGAGGAGAAGGAGAAGCGAACCCTGTTTGGTTAAATGCGGGTTCTTGGCTTGGTAATCTTTAAATTCAATTATTTTGAGATTTTACTTGTGTTTTAAAATTCCTCTTTTTTCTGATAATTTAATGCTTAGAAAAAGTCCTAATACGAAAACAAAAACCTTAGCTTTTCTCCCTCTTGGGTGTAAAATCTTGAGAAGTTTCAAGGTCTAAATACCTGTAAATGTAATTACTTTTTTTATATTGTCATGAAACAAAATAGGTAAATAACCCGTTAAAAGAACTTAGAGCATAATATAAAAAAAGAATTATTGTAATATTAAATAGAGACAGTTGCAAGAAAACTCTAGAATATATAACTCTAATAAGTGTATCTTTAAAGATTATGCCAAGAAGAATGATGCAGCAATGATGTTACTGGAGCATAGATATTATGGGAAAAGTCACCCTACTCCAGATCTGAGGTATAGTTAACAATGAGTAGTAGCCAGTTACTTGGTTCCCTGTTAAAAACCACATTTTTGTGGAGCCTTTAAATAGTAGGATTGCCACAAATTCTGCATTTTTTGCGCTTCCATGTGAAAAGAAATATTACTCGGAAATTTACTATTTTGAGCGGAGTTTGTTGCAAATTGGGGTGTGCAATCAAATACGCCAAGTTTCGGTATAATTTTGACGCAAATAGAGCGTGAAAGATGGAGCGCAAAAATTCAAATGTCAAATTATATGTCAAGTTTTCATTCGCTGGAAACCCTATTTTTGATGTAGAGTTAAGATCAATTCGTTTAAAAATGGTTCCGCCGTTAATTTTCAGAAAATTTTAAGGGTTCTGTATTTTCTTAATCATGCTTAAAAGCTTTAGGAAAGGTTCCGTAACTCGGAAGACCTATACGGATCCAAATTGATCCCCCCAAAAATCCTAGACTTCATTCATATCTACTAGTTAATTTTTAAATTCTCCAATTACTAGAGTTGTAAGTCCTAGATACAACAGTAACCTTAAAAGCTTTGTCAGATCAAGAATAAATGGGATATCACGTATCTCTTTGAAAATTGATTATTTTCAAATTCTTTACAAAAAAAACGTTTGAAATTATCAAGACTACAAAGCTAGAAAAACTTTGATTTTCCACGTCATTGATTATATTCAGATTTAAAAAGTACCATTGTGAATCGGACATGAAGGGTCACTTATATATCAACGACACTTCAGAGTGACGTTTACTCATGTTTAGTGTGAAGAATTTGAACTGGTTGAGTTCAAAGCAAGCTCTGGCCGATCTTTCCAGATTTGTTGTAGAAATGCAGGCAGCGCATAATCTTACTGGAAAATGGATTGCCCTGGGTAATCATTTACTTTATGTTAACAGAGATACAGAGAGAACAAGAAAACATTATCATATTGATACGTCGCTCAGAATAATATTATTTATTTTAAACATTTCTAAAACAGTGTCATGTACACCTTCAGTGATATAACAGTTGCAACAATTGCAGCAAATCACAAAATACAGTTCTTGAATAAAATGGTTAACAGCGACGATATTCAGTTCCTATCCTGGGTCTCTAGCAGCTTGGTGGTCCAGACTGAAATACATCTTATTATATAGGAGGTTCCTATCCTGGTTCTCTAGCAGCTTGGTCCAGACATACATACCTCTTATTATTTATGAGGTTCCTATCCTGGTTCTCTAGCAGCTTGGTCCAGACTTAAATACATCTTATTATTTAGGAGGTTCCTATCCTGGTTCTCTAGCAGCTTGGTCCACACATAAATACCTCTTATTATTTAGGAGGTTCCTATCCTGGTTCTCTAGCAGCTTGGTCCAGACTTAAATACCCTCATCTTATTGCTGGAGCAGTATCAACCTCAGGCCCACTTAGGTACACGTACATTCTACAAGAGTAGGATTTATAAAATCTCTAAAGTAATTGAGTCTTTGCCACAACCTCTGTAATTCTAATCCTTTAAACTTTGCATGACCAACTGTTATAGACATTAGATATTTCAAACTATGAATTTTGTTAGAAAAAATATTCTTGAAATATCAAAGGTTTACAACATCAGAGTCCGAAATTTAAATAATTTGAACCGCGTCGCTGAACCGCTAATAACCGGTTCCAAAAGAGCGCCGATTCATATCTCGAAACACTGATCATAATTTCAAGTGGAACCAACCATGTTTGAACCGCGTCTCATATTTGAACCACGTGTAGACGCGGTTCCAATGATTTAAACTCGGCCTCAGGTTGAAAAGAAAAAGATATGAATTTGAGTTTGTGGCTAAAACTCAATTGCTTTTATGAAAAAATCAAGAGTTTTAAATGTGCCCCTTTGTAAATTTTTTTTTTATGGATAATCACTTGAAAATATAAAGACGAGAACTCAAAGGAATCAGAGGAGCAGACAACATTTTAGAAATGGCAGGACTAGGAGAATTTTGGGGTTATTGTTTCAAAAATCAGATATGTTACCAATAAATTCAAAGATCAAAGACGACTGTCATTTTTCGTGAGACACCCTGTAGGAATTAGAAAATTTGAGTTTGTGGCAAAGACTCAAGCTCTTAAAATACAATTGTCATCCATTAATTTTCCATTGATTACTTCTCTGATTGTATTGAATTGTTTAGAGCTAAAACCAACTTCTATGAGTACCTTGAAGTGGTTCAAAATGCACTGGAAACTACCAAACAAGGATGCTCAGAGGTCGTGAAGGATGCTTTAAAGTAATTAAATAAAAGATTATATCAAGAATTCTATTTCAGGTTTCAACGAATTATACACACATATATATATACATAAATATATATATATATACACGAGTCGTATATTGCAACTTTCTGAATTTGAATGGAAGCAACGTTCTTCAGTTTTAGTCTTTTTTAACAATTTTCTAATTATAGAAAGTTTCATGCTTTAACTCTTTCGTTTTTCAAATTTAGGTTTTTAAATCTTAAAAAATTATTTTTTTCTAAATGAAACTTTTTTAGCATTTTATTCTTGTGTTTTTACTCCATCCCCTGTTGTGTATACAATACACATATACATATATATATATATGTAAACTCATATGTTTGTACTTATATTTATAGAAAAATTAGAAAGGTGTAAAACTAATTTGTAGTGATTTTAGATTTTGCACTTGCATTCGGTTAAAAGATGTAGTTCACCACTAGCAATTGTTTTCTATATACAGGGNTTATATTTATAGAAAAATTAGAAAGGTGTAAAACTAATTTGTAGTGATTTTAGATTTTGCACTTGCATTCGGTTAAAAGATGTAGTTCACCACTAGCAATTGTTTTCTATATACAGGGACACAAAGTATAAAACCGATTTTAGGAGATTGTTCAGTCTTTTTTCCCCTAACATTCAAGGTTTTCTGCAGCAGTAAACTTGCTTTTTTTTCTTTACCAGAGCTGGAAACTCTTGTATTGTGAATATCGAGATCAATGCTTAATCTTGATATATCGTTATTCTGGAGATTAATTTAATCTGTATTCGATATTCACAGTGTACATGCAAATGCACCTTTGAAATGCATGAATAGATTAAGGAGAGATCCTCAAAATCAAAGTACCCACCTCGGATATCGGAATCAATTTAATGCATCGTGAAAAAAAATACAGTTAAGACAGAAAACACAATCCAAATATAAACTGTTTGTGTGCAAAATCTCAACTATTATTCGTCTCTCTCACAAGGAACCTTGAATAGTTTTAAGAATAATGAATTTACCCTAACAGAGTTAAGAACTATTGAACAAGATTTAGTTTAGCTAACAGCGAACCTCCAAAACTTTTGAGTTTAATTCATCAGATTTAAATCTATCTATTATCATCCATTTTTTTATTTTCTTATCTCTTCGGGATAAATTAGAAAATTCTTTATCTTTTATTGGAAGCTCCAAGCTTTAGCCAATGAGGTAAAGGAAGAGGGATTCATAAGGAAGAGATCACGACTTTAACTTATAAATTAGAAATTAAAACTTAATCTATTTATTCAAAAGTTACAACCTGTTTTATGATTTATCATTATTATTTTAGGCGAGTCAAGTATCTGACAGCCCACCGTGTAGGATGGTCACTTTTAACCAAAAAGTTCAACTTATGTACACCATTTGACGGCACAGTATTAACTGATGTAATAAACCTTTTTGAATCTCTCATTGGAAACTTTGAAGGAATTGTTCAGTACAACAAGGATAACAGGAAGGACCAGAAAAAAAACAATATTATTTGAATTTTTTTTCTCATTTTTTCAACGTAAATTGAAGTAACCCTTAAAAAAGTTTCATGTCTGATTCACAACAGTATCTTGTAAACCTGCGAATGAGAAAACTGTTGGAGATATTCTTGTTTATTTTCTTTCTTGAAAATGATAATTTTAACTGCGGTAGAAGTGACATGGCATTTATGCAGCTTTAGAGAAATATAGAATTTGTTTTTCATTCAAAGCTGCCCCTTTAGTAAAAGTAAATTCAACCTATATGAAGCATAAAGTCTGGCCGCGTCAACCTTGTTGCACCGGCTAGTCTTGTCCAGGACTATCCGGTGCAATAAGGTACATATAGTACAAACTGGGACCGGAAAGGTTGACCCGGCTCGGAAATTAAAATTTACTATGGCTGCCCGTGTTTTTCAAGTTAGAAAAACTATGACATGTTATTCAGATAGAGGGTGAAAAGGCACTGTTGTCAATCGTGCATAACTTCCATATAGAACATTTCTGAACCAACAACTAGAGAGTTTGAAGGAGCCAAGTGGATGAACATAACAGTTGAGACTCTCTGTAACATTATGACTAATCCGACAGAAGGAACCTCCCTTGAACGATTAAAAATTGTAAATGATTTATCTCTGCTCATGGCGGAGGAAAAGTGCCTAGATCACACCTATAAAACTCAGGTAAAAACAAACAAGATGATTCGTAGTCCTCTTTTCAAAATTTTTTTAAAAATTTCAAGTAAGCAAAAAATGTTAAAACGATATAACTTGCAACCTTTGGACCAGTATATGTTTAGTTAGAAGAGCTACAGGGCACACTTTGGAACCAAACCGCAGCAGTTGGAGGGAGGCAGTGGACTTACCAAACCTGTACGGAGTTTGGTTGGTATCAGTCATCAGAGAGTCCTTTAAATCCATTCGGAGATATTATACCAGCAAGGTATCGTACAGTGGTGGCGTATATATCAATACAATGAAGACAACTTTACTATATTTTGCTTAAGAGCTTTTTCAACTTACAAGTTTACAAGTAAACAAAGAGAAGATGTTAATGGACAGTCTCTCTTTGTTTAATTACAGGGTATCCCACGAAACATGACAATTGGCGAAAAGTTTAAATGTCTTCTTCCATAGTTTGTTAAGTTGTTTAAACTCCAAGAGAATAATATGAAAATTTTCATGCCAGCCATAGTAAAATTAATTTCAAAGTAAAATATTTTTGAGTAAAAGATTTTTAGAACTAAAGTCTATATTATCTAAAAAGGATATGGAAGAAGATATTCAAAACTATTCTCAAACTGTCATGTTTTGTGGGACACCCTGTATGTTTATGTGATGTTTGAAGACTTCGTAGGAATCACAATTGAGATCGAAAGTATTCTTCATTGTTTTGCTACTCACGACGACGACGACTGAAGTATAATTTTGTTTACCGAAGCATTTTCTGGGTTGGTTTGTTTAATTTAAGAACTTCTATTACATTTTTCTTTACATAAAGAATATCTGTTTCAAAATTCTTGACAAGAAGATATTGATATAAATATTCTGGGTGGCTTGTTCAATTTAATAACTATATTACACATTTCTTTTTATAAAGAATATTTATTTGCAGTTGCACACTTCACATATGCCCATTTTGTACTTTTGCTGCAGGGTTACCCACAAAGGACAAGATTTCAGAGACGCCTGTACAGAATTTATACTGTCTATATCCTAATATGTTTGATTCTCAGCAACTGTAAACTAGTTTCTTTAGTTACCAAAACATATTTAATATTAGTCATTAAAAGACAATATTCAAAGCAGAAGACTTAATTCAGCCTTGCAAAAGTCAAATTTTAAGAGTTTAATGTCGTCTTTACAGACGCACCTTTTGTGGGTACCCTGTTTGTTGTCCTTTTGGATTGTTTTGTCTCATTGACCTCAAATAATTATTTGTAGAGTAAACTTTTTTTTTTATGAATGTAATTTTAACAAAGATTAACAAAATCTTAGGCTTGGAATAATAAAAATTAAAGATGGGATCTCAAGTAAAAATAGATTTCTAATCCTTAGTAAGTGCATTTACAGAAAAAGAACATTACATACATCGGAATTGCATAGTAATTCAATCATGTATGCACCTTTTTAGCTCAATACAATTCTTTTTAAATTCTGCAACTTACAATGGGTTAGAACTTACCAAGGTTGTATAATAAGGGTAGTTACTCTCGATGCGCTCGACAACGTACGGAAAATGTCGTTTCCTAAGATAGATAGATAGATACCAAATATGACGTCAATGATTATAGAGGCGATGAATGACTTCATATTGAGTACTTATCTAATCTAAAAAACTTATCTATCTAAAATCTTAAGTTTAAATTAAAAGGTATTAACTTCTTTGTCATTGCAATGAATTTAAACTAATACCTTTTGATATGGCTTTAAAATATCAAAGGTCTTCTAGAATTCCAAGCTCCAAAGGTATAAACAAATTTAAATTTAAGGGCAGGGGTGTATGTTTTCGTGAAAAATCATTTCCCTCCTTTTGAAAATGGTTTTGTTCACTTGACTTGCAATGACAGTCCTTTTTTATATTTTCAGGTTTTTTGAGTATATGTGTTCTGATATATTTGGGCCCAGATTTGATATTAGCTTGCTTGAGAGAGGGGTAGAGGATACCAACACTTACTATGGGGGACTAGATATAGAGGTATTAATTCATTGATGGCTATCGTTCAGGTCTCTTTACAAACATTCTAAGTTATTTAATTTTTGATTCATGGCTTTGAAATTTAAGGGTTTACACCATCAGGTTAAAAAGATATATGGATTGTCAATTCCTTTATTTAAAAAGCTTCAAAAAGGATTATAACAGTACTTTTAAAGCTTTAACATTGGAATCATCCTGTTATTTAATCTTTATATTTATAACATTAACACGTGCAGTAAGCTGATTCTAGATTGTGCTACTATGGCGCTTTACGCCCATCTTCGATTTTCCCTTCTCACACTATCAAACAATCACAATTTTTTAAAGGATTTATTGATTTTATTTTTTGTATTTTGAAAAAATCGTTTTTCAGGCAAATTTGTTTAATTCTGATAATCCACAAACTTTTCCTTGGGTCATGTGAGGTTCAACAAATTTTGGCTAGATTGGTTCAGTCGTTTTCACGTTTATTGGATACAAACAAACAAACGAACAAACAAACAACCAAAGTGTTTAAAGGGTTTAGAGGGTTTAAAGAGTTTAAATGGATTAAAGGGTTTAAAGGATTTAAAGGGTATAAAGGGTTTAAAGGGTTTAAAGGGTTTAAAGGGTTTAACGGGTTTAAAGGGTTTAACGGGTTTAAAGGGTTTAAAGGGTTTAATGGGTTTAAAGGGTTTAAAGGGTTTAAAGGGTTTGAGGGTTTAAAGTGTTACTGTTAGTTAGTGAATCATTTTATTCACAATATACATTTATACTTGGACCAGCATGAAATACTTCTATTCAACCATATTTATCAATTTATTCTAATTCTATTGTGTAGTCCAGATATTTATTTAAGGTGACAAATGTAGTATTTGTCCATGGCAGTATAGATCCTTGGCATGCTATGGGAATAACAAAAACAAACAAAAGGAGAATTAATTATGATAATCATATTTTGTAATTCAGATTTGTATTTTCAAAATCTACAAAATTGAAAACGATTTCTTAAAATCTCGACTTCTTGGGATTGTTTTCCATTCTAAAATTCGAAAAAAATTTTAAAAAATTAAATAAATTTAAAAAGTTCTGGTGCAACCTCTGCTTTTTATATTTCCAAGATTTAAAATTTTCAATTTTTATTCGAATATTATTTTTTAACGTTTTAATTCTACTATTTTTTTTTACTCATAAAAGATTTTATAAAGTGGGATGGAAGCCATTTTTATTGAGGGTACAGCGCACTGCGCCAACATGTATCCAGGGAGCAAAGACGACCCAGAACAGCTGAAGAATGCACGGAGAAGAATTGGCCAACTCATTTCCCAATGGGTGAAGTAAAAGTAAAGTTTGAAATAAATGAATGCAAGTTTCCACGCTTTATTTTGTTCTACAATACAAATCCAAATACAAATATCTAAATATTAATTATGAATACATTACAATAAAGAATAAAATACATTTTGAGTTGCGAAAAAAATTTCTAAGAATGTCAAAATCTGTAAATCTGCATCGAGATCGAGATATCCACAAAGCTAGAAAAATGAAGTGTAGTGGTATTCAGTCATCTTTACCCTGCGAAAAAGTGTTATTTTAAATTGGAATTTGAAAGTAAACATAAGACATTTTTTTGTAACATTATATAATATTATACAAATCCAATGTTTGATGTCCAAATATGACAATTGATACATCATTGGAAAGGTCTTATATGCTCTACTTTAGAATCTTCAAAATTTCTTTGCAAAGGAATTGAGTCTTTGACACAAACTCTGATTTTCTAATTCCTATATCTCTGCAACCCAGTGTCGTAGACCTTAGATATTTCAAACTATGAATTCTGTTGCATTAAATTATCTTAGTTTGAAATATTAAAAGTCTACAACATCAGGTTCCATAGATATAGGGATTAGAAAATATGAGTTTGTGGCAAAGACTCAATTCCTTTGCATTTTTTTTTTGCAAAATCCAGTTTGCAAAATGTTTGCCAAAAACAATGTCCAAAAAATGATACATTTTTTAAATATGCAAAAGTTTGTGCAAAATTTAAATAACCTGATGTGTAATTAAGAAAAACTAAAATTGTGTAAATTTCTTTCGACTGGTTGTACGTAAATACTTTAGCTAAATTTCTTCGTAAATCTAATGCAATCTGTTTCCTTATGGGTCAAAACAAAGATTTACTTTTTTTATAGGAAAAAGTAGTCATTCAGGCAGTGTGCCTGAGGACTCAGGCAGTTAGTATAAAAGCTCAGTTTTAGACCTAAAAAGAGGGCTATGAGTATTTTGGAAAAGTAAGAAAATTTCAACCGCCTCATACTAATACTTTTTGAGTTATGTAAAAAAAATAAATTAGGGGGGATTGACCCCTCCCCCAGCAGGACTAGGGTTACGCCTTTTTGTTCTCATTGGTTCACAATCAAACCGAATTAAATAATAAAAAATAGAAAATCAAACTGACTGAGATGGAAGTGTAAAAGCAATCTGCATTTCCTACTTTTCTAATCAGCTCGGCTTTGTGAAACAAATTGAAATCCTTGAGTAGAGTTGATTTTACATCAAGAAATAATTAAAAGTATTTGTGAAATCTAATCTTGAAAAATAATTAATTTATTACTTATAAGATGCCGAATTCTCTACAGTCTCTTCATGATGCTTTATCTCAATTTTACTGGGAAGTGGAACACTGAAAAATAATAAAAATTTCAAGAGTTTTTAGAAAAAAACATTTTTACTTTTTGGAATATATTTTATTCATCTCCTCATTTTAAGAATTGTTTTTAACATTCATGAAAATCCTGACTAATTTTGATAAAAATATATTTAAAATAAATTAAATAATCAAGGTTAAGTAATATTTCCTTTTTTTACCCCCAAATAAGAATATAATTTTAATACTGACTTTACTGAGATGTTTGCTCTAAGTCCGACAACTCCAAAAAGTTTACCATAACACCCTTGGCAGTAAATTCTCTAAACAAATTATTAATCTTCAAAGTTATCAATATTGTTATCAATAAAATATTCATTTACATTCTCTGCGCCTTGGAGCAGATTTGTGATCCCCAGTTGCCGATCACAGGAACAACATTTTAGACAGAGCTAAAATATAAATTTTAATATATTGGATAATATTGTTTAAGGAACCTTTATAGATCAATAACGGAGTGTATAGGTCTTCTACTAGACAGGGGTTGCTTTTGAAAACTTTTTGACTGTTATTATTATTAAGCTTTGATTTTTGGTTTTTAAGATTTTGTAAGTCCAAGTCCAAGAATTGTAAATATATAAAGGTAAGACATGCACTACACAGAAATAGCATTAAAAGATAAAATTTAAGTAATATGATTATCCATTATTCACCTTGTGGTATGTGTATCCATTAGTACTCACACCTTCTGTGGGATAAACAGTGCCATGACACCTAAATATAGACAGGAAAATTATAGCTGAAAACACGAGCTTCATAATCTTAATATACCTGAAACAACCTGACTTTTGATCTTTTGATTCAACATACATTGATTGCATGAGTTTCATAGAGTTTTCTTGATTGTAATTTCTCATAATTGGATCGTAGAGTTTATTATAACAACTGCTACATACTAACTGTTGGTTGAGTCCTGTACAAGAAGAGAAGGAGTCCAAACCTCGAAAACATTCAGAGCATGTAAAGCACAGACGATGATACGCATATTTTCCTGATGAAACTCGTTCAGCTTCAAAAACCTTTCCGCCACATTTAGGACATTTGTCTTTATCATCATCTCCTGCTTTTATTGAGGATGTATACACCATTGACTAAAAATAGAAAAAAAGATAGGAGTAAAAATATAGAGTAAATGTTCACAGAACATTTTTATCATAAATTGATTAATTTGTAAAATGTAGTGAAATTGTTACCTTAGTTATTATCTGGTGTCCTTCATCACTATCCAAATTGAAAAGAGAGTTCTCTGGAGATTGAACTTGGTTCCTAGATCCTGGACATGATCGTGATCTAGACCTTGGTCTACGGGAATATATTCCATATTCTTCCTTGTAGCAATTTTGGCAAAAGATTTCCCCATTTGGTCCAGCATTGCAAGTATTTGGGCTTAGATTACAAGAACATAAGTAGCAAGTGAAGCACTCTTTATGAAATAGCCCATTACTAGTTAACATTTTTTCTGCTGCAAATACCTTGCCACTGCATCTTTTGCATCTGTTGGGGTCTAAATTTGCTTCAAATTCAGTTTCGTTGAATTCTTTACGACTTACTGAACCAGCTCGACCTCTGACACCATATTGATTGTTATAGCAGTTTTTACAGAAAATCTTAGATTGGGGCCCAGTAAACAATGAACTTCTGCTAAGTGAGGCTTGACAGTTAAAACATTGAAGACAGTAGTTATGGTAAACACCATTTCCGATAATTATTTGATCAACAACAAATACTTTGTTTTGACATTTTAAGCAACAGTTTTTTTCAGAATCATTTGCTTTCACGTCTTTTTTTTCCAAATAAGCATGTCTGGTGTTAGAGTTTACATCTCTCTGATAACATGTTTTACAAAAGATTTCCCCATGTTGACCTTCTATAAATGTTGATGCATCTAACTTATGTGAACATAAACTGCAAGAAAAACATGCTTTGTGGTACATGTGATATTTTGTTTGTAGTTTTTCAGCCTCAAACACCTTGCCTTCACACCGGGGACAACCATTTTGTTCATTTGGGTCCGCTTTAAGTATATCAGTTGACTTATCTCTGTTTGGTTTGCAAGTAGCCAACATCATTGTGTAACATGACTTACAATATGCATCATCATTTTGACCAAGAAAAACCTTTAAAGTATCTAAATTTGTTCGACAGCCTGCACATGTAAAACAGTATTTGTGGAAGATCACATTTTCAGAAATTCTTATTCGTTCAGCTTCATAGACTGTTTCCATGCATCTAGTACAGGAATCCCCGTCACAGCTTTGTTTGATTTTAGAATTGTCTGTGTAACTCTCAGGAATGGTTCCTTCTCCAAAGGCTTGGAAGTAGCATGAGTTACAATAGATCTGTTTGTCTGGTGATTTGAATGCTGCCGCTGAAGCTGGTGATAATGTTGTTCTGCATCCATTGCAATAAAAACAGAATTTGTGCCAAACACCTGTTGAACTGCTTATTCTTTCACGCTCAAAGACTTTTTCTTGACACCTATTGCAAACATTGGGATCCATTAAGCCATTTGTCTTAAAAACTTTCTTCACTTTTTGATTTCCATCAACCCAATTTTGGGTCATAGCGCCCCTGTATGTAGAACTTCCAAAAAGCCTGGAATAACATCCGGTGCAATATATAAACCCATCTGCACCATTGCAAACACTTCCAGGTGTAAGTCGTGTAGAACATAAAGCACATTTTGTGCATTTTAGGTGATATGCTTTCCCATTTAGCATATTTTTTTCAGCTTCAAAAACAGCTCCTCCACAATTTGGACATCCAGAGCCATCAGATGGTTGACAACTTTGAGTTTTGTATAGAGCTTCTACATCTGTTTTAAATGTTTGAGGACCAAAATTCTTAGAATAGCATGTTGTGCAATACAACTGCAGATTAGGCCCATCAGTGGCCAAACTATAATTCAAAGGGCGACAGCATTCTATGCATGAAAAACATTTCTTGTGATAACATCCACTTTTCATTTTCATCTTTTCAGCTTCAAAAACTTTACCAGAACATCTTGGACATTTAAAAGGATCTCCATCATCTGCCGGTATGGTTTGAGATTCTACAATTGATTTAGCAAATATCAAGCTTCCATCCTCATCATGACCAGCAATGAGAGATTTAGATCTTTCTCTTCCATAACATTGTCTGCACAGAACCATTCCATTTCTTGAGCAAGCAGAGTTTTGGCTGGTGTGAAGGCTTATTGAACATTTGGTACACCTGTAGCAAGAGGCATGAAAGAGGCCAAAACATGTGGAAAACTTCTCAGCTTCAAATATTTTACCATGACATCCTTCACATTGATTTGGATCTGCAAGATCTGCTTGAAATGCTGAAACATTGACAGGGCCTCTTGACCTGGAGCGTGATCTACGTCCATGCAATGCATCATAGCAATTTTTGCAAAACATACTTTTGTCAGAACCCAGAAAATAGTTTGCTGTGGTCAGAGTTTTCAAACAGTTATTGCATGACAAACATGAAATGTGAAAGTCTCCGTGCTTAGTTAACACCTTTTCTACGTCAAACACCTTGAAACCACATTTTAAGCAAGCCGTCGCTCCTTCGGTTGCGGGTAGAGGATTCTTTTCTAGATACTTATTCTTTCCATTTGTAAAGAAAAGATTTAGGTAACAAGGTTTGCAGAAAACCTCCCCTTCTTTACTTTCGTACATATTACTATAATCTAATATGTGCTTACATTGTTTACAACAAAAGCAGGATTTATGGAAGATATATTTTCGAGTTTGTATTTTCTCCGCTTCAAATACTTTCCCTTCACATCTTGGACAAGATTCAGATTGAGAGCCTTTAATCAAGGATGTACTCGTCATCAGATTTAGAGGTTTATAACTTACTTTGGGATAACAGGTCTTACAATACACCTCCTCCTCATGCACAAACACTTGAAGTTTGTCATTTAGATATTTTTTACAGTGTTTGCATGTAAAACAACTTTGGTGAAAGTTTCTTCCCTTTTCCACAATTTGCTCTGCCGAAAACACTTTGCCCCCACACCTGAAATATGATAATGAAAAGTAATTATAAAATAATACAGAAAAACGTAATCAGAAAATGCAGTATTTTAAACAAAGCTTTAACAAATTATCCTTATCTTTATGAAATAAATATTGGTTTATCAAAAATTATGGTGGTGTAAAAATGAATTGAATATTTACATCCATAAATATTAGATATACTTTGCTTATTTATCTGTTTTTTTTGCATCCAAACATCAAACAGTCAAAAACATCAAAATGGTTGAACTGATCGGATCCATTTTTTTGTTGTATCTTACATGACTCCAGGAAATGTTTATGGCTGGAAAATGATGTCAACATTAATTATTTATAAAGAACAACAAAAAATATGCGAAATATTTTTGTTATTGCTGAGTATGATGAAAAATGGCATCTTGAAAAGAAAAGCCAAAATTGTTATTAAAAAGGGGGCGCGTAGAGTCCTACGGGCTTAGTTATATGATGTTTTTTAAACCTGGGACATCCATCTCCATCCTTCGCCACAATAGCTTTTAGATCTGCATAGGAAGGTGGAATACTCACACCAAACTTTTCACCATGACACTTTTTGCAGTAAACTTCCCGATCCGGTCCTAAATACTGTACATTAGAACCAACAATAGAATACAAATCTGACTTCCATTTTGCAGTAAACTTCCCGATCCGGTCCTAAATACTGTACATTAGAACCAACAATAGAATACAAATCTGACTTCCATTTTGCTAATTACTTTTGAATTGAAATCCTAAACATTTTAAATTATTCTTGATATTTTCAGTTAAAGTTTTATAAAAAAATCGCAAACATTTGAAATATACAGAAAATTACCAATGATTGCTCGAGCAAGATCCACATGAAGTGCTGTTTTACATTCTTTACAGTTGAAACAATCCTTATGAAAAGATCCTGTCTTTGTTCGAAGCAATTCACAGTCGAATACTTTCCCCTCACACCTTACACAGCTAGTGTCTCCAGGCTACAGAAAAAATCATCAAATATACTTTTGTCTTCTAAAGGAATTGACATGGTTAAAAAAAGTAGGGATGGAAAAAATATTAAACGAAAGTAAACAAAAAATGAACTGAAAGTTTCTTTAACAAACAGAAAGGAAAGTTAATCAAATAGTATCTAATTCGTTAATTAATTAACTAATTAATTAGTTAATTAATTCGTTAACTAATTTGTTCATTATTATGCAAAAACAATTCTTATTTAGAAACTATTGATAGCAAGTCATTTTAGAATGGTTACTTTGATTGCGGCTAAACTAAGGATCAGTTGAAAAAATCACATCTATTTTTAAAGTATATAATCACGGTGGACTAAGCCAGTGGGGTCGGTCAAATAGGCTTAGGATTAGGCTGGGTACTGTAAAAAGTCTGAACGCACCATGGGAGTTGTCTTGTTAGCCCTCCGACGGGACTATGCCATGAAAATTGACCCCTGTCGTATGTTAGTCTGGATAGGCAGGGCAGGTCCTGTTCGAATTCAAATTTACTACGGCCCAGAGTGTAATAAGTCTAAAATTGCAGATGCTGGTATATTGGAATATTCCTACCCACCTTTGGTTTTATTGATTGAAGCTCTGATGGTGTTGAAGGTCTAAAAGGAAAATAAATAAAAATCTTGATGATTCAAAATTAAACAAATTTTACAAAGAAAGGAAATGAATACTCTAGTTTTCTAATCCTTATATCTTTGCAACTGGAGGAACTTTGTTATTTCTAGAAATTCTGCTGATCATATTAGTCAAAGTTTGGAATATTTAAGGTTTCCAGCATAAGGTAGAAAAGATAAAGAGATAATAATATTTGAGTTTGAAGCAAGTTTTTATTCTATTAACACTAACACTTAAACTTTGCGATAGACGACTGAAGTTTAGAAAAAATCCAATACTTATTAGTTAAAAACTTTTTAGAGATTTAAATATTTTCATTTAAAAGCTGCAGTATTTGAAATTTTTTCCTTTATATTAAGAAACAATTATGGTTTACATAAATGTTACATGCATTTTTACAATGTAGTCTCAGTTATACTTTAAAACTTAAAAATTATATGTTCCCTTACTATGGCATAACACATTTTTTGAAAGATTTTAAACAATATCAGTTTAAAATACTGTATAAATTTTTTCAAAACTTAAATAAGAAACCTTAATATTAACCTGAGGATATGAGCAGTTTCTGAATCAACCCAAGTTCCGGTTAGAGCTCCCCTGTATCCTAAACCTCCAAATTTTCTTCCATAGCAAACCTATAAATTCATAGTTTTCACCCTAATGAGGGGGGAGGGGTGACCCCACTTTAATTTTTTGCCCTAGCACTCTCATTTTTGACACCTTCACCTCGATTTTTTTTCTTTTGAGGAATAGTAATTAAGAAAGAATTTTTGCATTTTTTTAAAGCATAGGTTTAGGTACAGAAAGGTAAAAAGGCTGGTCGATGTAAGCAACTCTTTTTAAAATTTAAGCTAAATATCTAAAAATAAGATTTTTGAAAAGCCAAATAAGCTTACACCCATAGATCCAGACTACTATAAAAAGTTGCAAACATTTTCAAAACTTTGAAGTGTCGTCATTCCTTGGCCATTAATTTTACCTCTCTAACTAACTTATACTCCTTCTTGCTGATAAATCAGGATTTATGATATGAATAAATTTCATCAGGTTTCATTCAATTTCTCAAGATAAAAATTGATTCACTTTGAACTTGAAAGTCGGGTTATTTCATGACTCATGGAAAAGCTTTTACACCCTGCTCCATCATAAAAGGTTTGCTGTCAATTATTAGAAAATATTACGAACATTTTACTTTAGGCCCAAGGGGGGCATCAAAAGCTAAATCTGCAATGAAATTCTGATAAAAACATCCCTTTTATTTGTAAAAATTCATAAAATTTAAATAGAATTTGTTGTACGAAAGATTTGATATCATGAATGCATCGCAAACGTTTAAACAGTTACAGTATCACATTTGCAAGCAAAGTAAAACAGATTACAAAAAGCTAAATCTTAAGAATTTTGATTATTTAATTTTGAATTTTTGATTAAATTTTAGTTTTAAATTTTAATACAACATTTTTTTCTAATTTAGTGATTTGCTTAGCCATAAAAAATTGAATGATTTGTCTATGTTTTTCAAATCAAAAATGTTTAGTATTTGCATCATTCAGATGTAACTTTGATATGTGTATTTCGGCAAGTTATACAATCGCTATTAGTGTTTTCTAATTCTGCTGATTTATCGCTTTAGTCTTTTCTAATCTATGTTCAGGTTGAGTCAAAAAAAAGTGTGATTTGCGGCAGCTGGTGCAAAATTGTGCTTTTTTTGTGCAACTCTTCTGTATGGTTTTTTTAAAGCGATAATTCAGCAGAATTAGAAAACACTAATAGCGAACTTATTTTTGTTATTGTTTTATATTGCCTAATATTTTATATTTTAACTGCTAAAGCTAGATATCCATATTTTGCAAAATACAAAACTATTAAGATATTCTAGAGAAAGGTTTTGGAGCATCTGGATTTTATAAAACTCCTGAAAAATAAATTTTTCATAATTTTGGGAAATTTAATTCCATCCCTGTCGGATAATAATCCCGGTGAAGCTTATCTTGTCCTTTTTTCTCACCCAATTAATCCAAATTTATATCTTCCCTGGGAATTAAAGGAATCCAGAAACTATTTAATACAGTGAAACCATCAATCTTCAGAAAAGTAAATAAACCAAATTTAGAATTTTAGATGAAATTTAATACTTCTAACTAAACCACCGGAACTCTAACAAAAAGTTTAATTTTAATTTAGATAAAGATTAATTTTATATTGAAAATTTTACATCAAAACGAAATGCTTATTTTATAACTAAATAAATAAAATAAACCTAAAAAACACGGTAAAAACTAAAAAAAAACATATTTCTTTTTGTACAGTGTTACTCACAAAGGACGAGGCTTTAATGACAACCGATAATGCTTTACAAATAATTACCAATTTATATTAAAGGTAGAACTTGGTCATCTGCTTTAATAAAGTATTTTAATGAATAATTTATTAGGGTTTGTTTTAGAAAGAAACAATTGCAGGGAATACGGAATAATAGAAAAAACAAATTCACTATTTTGAAAAAACAATGTAGAACATTTTAATTTAAACTTTAAATCTACAAATCTTAATAAAAAATTTCTTGTCAACCCTAACTTGAGCACTCAGAAATATATCTCTGAAAAGTTTTTATTAAAAACTTACTTTGCAATATACTTCAGTATCTGTTCCCATTCCTGGCAAGTAAGACGACCTGTCTAGTCCAGTATGACAGACAGCACAACTGAGACATCTGGCGTGAAAAGGTGTTCCTTTACTCAGAACCTGTTCAGCAGTGTACACAACACCACCACAGCGTGGACATCCCTTCACTCCAGGCCCTGAAAACAAATTTAGTAATTTACAATGCTATATTAATGTATGGGTGAACATTTTTAGATCACATCACATATAAAAACCCCCACTTCTTATTTACAAATACACATGGTTTGATTTTTATATAAACGTTACATTTTAGCTAGCAAACTCTAAAACTAAGTCTAATTTGTGTTTAAAGTTTTTCTAACGGCTGAGCAAAGTACTATCAACAGATACAAGTTTAAATTAATCAAAGGTTTTGTTACAAACAGATTCGTTGATTTTTGGTTTGCCTGGTTTAATAATTGAAGTATTGTTTGAATGAACTAGATCTTGAGCTTGAACTGTATTCCTTTTATAACAGTTCATGCACACCAGTATTTCTCCCAGGTCATGTGATGAACTAATAAAAAATTGATTGTTTATAAACAACAACAAAAAATAGCAATTAATCTACATATTTCATATAATTTTGTTGGAATAATTAGGCTTTTCGGTATTTATGAAATTATTCTGATGTTCAAGAATAAATAAATGAGTATTCTTAATCTAAAAAAAATTGCAAGTATGTTAAAAACTAGTTTATTATTTACATAGTGTAGATTATGTTTACCCAGTCTCGAGTTTTCTTCTGCATAATGTACAGTAGAAACAATTATCATGATACATTCTACCTCCTGACTCCCTTCTTTCAGCCTCAAACACTTTCCCACCGCAACAAGGACACCTAACAGAAAAAAAGTATAAAAAGAGTCTGAAACTTTTTGGACTGAAACTTTATATTCAACATAACATTACATTATATAAATGTGAATTCTTAAATAAGCTTACACCCATAGATCCAGACTACTATAAAAAGTTGCAAACATTTTCAAAACTTTTAAGTGTCGTCATTCCTTGGCCATTAATTTTACCTCTCTAACTAACTTATACTTTTTTGTATCCTTTGACATGTACAGTTTAGCCTATAAAGCATTTGTTTTCAGTTTTAGTTTTAATAAGTAATTTAGAAAATTCTCATTGATTTTTGCATAAGAAATTGAAACTTTTAAATTACTCTGAGTGTGCACACTATAGACTATATTATTTCTCATGTATCCCACCAACATCCTTCTTCAGGTAAATAAGTAGTTCAACTCAACTCAATCTTTATCACCGAAAAAAATCTGTAATGACAGTCATTGTCATCTAAAATTTTTTTATCGATTTTGATGGTTATTATATCGTTAGAACTGACGAGGGTCAACCAAGACCGAAATATATTTTCAATAAAATGTGGAACTACAATCTATTTTTTTTACTCTACAGAGGTTTGGTCCATCACCATCACCGAATTTTAAATTATAGAGCGTACAAACCTGTAAACCAACAATGAATGTGCTAAACAGTAAGTGATTATTTGTTAATTATCTAGTTTTAAATGGTTTGGTTCTTGCGGAAAAACAAATTAAGGAAACAATTCATTAGTTTCTGCTGAGTAGTAAAGCCTTTACTGCTAAAAACTACCAATGCAGACAGTGTGCAGTTTAATCTTTTCTAATTTTAACCTGGCAGGAGAGAATTGGAGATTTTAAAGGCAAGCCCATTTATAAAATGAAAATTTGATAACTCATAACCAAAATCTAATCAATCAGATTTTGAAGTAGCGTGCACATGTATATGAGTACAGACTACAGACATTGACCATGGGAACCATTACAAATATGTGATATTACTCTATTCAAGTTAAACCATGCAAGTAAACATTTTAAAATTATCATTTAAAATATTTTTTCTAAAATACACATTATTATAATCAATATTAAAGGTAAAGGAATTGAGTCTTTTCTCAAATTTTTTAAACTCTATAATATCTTTACAACCTTATTGTGTAAATCTTTGATATTTCAAAATTAGATTTTTTGATTTACCAGAATAAAGTGTTTGAAATATCTAATGTTTCCTAAATTTAGTTGGAAAGATGCAGAGGCCAGAAAATCTGAGTTTGTGGCAAAGACTCAATTCCTTTGAACCTGTACAAAAATTTCCCCCTAATGTTTTTTACCTAAATCGAAATGCTTGAATTGCATCAAAAACTCTGCTGCAGTCATTGCACTTGAAACAAGCTGGATGGAAAGCACCAAACTGAGTCAGCATTTTCTCGGCCTCAAACACTTTTCCGTCACACCCCATGCATTTCAGGTCATCATCTGAAGCTAGGAAAAACGTCATCTCTACAGATACCTTCTGATCTAATCTTCCATGCTTCACAGCACAACATGCCTTGCAATATATCTTCCTATCTTTCGCCTCTAAGAAGTTTGAAGAATTTAGTAGACGATTGCAATCTGAACAAGATAAGCATTTCCCGTGGTACTTCCCATATCTTGTAACTATCCCTTCTGCCTCAAACACATGAATAAGACATCTTGGACATCGATCTCCAGATGTATCTTCACTTTCAACCATATTGGAGTAGTCTAAGTAGCAGTTCCTTCCACCAATAAAGAATTTATGAAAATAGCAAGTTCTGCAATATATTTGAGAATCAGAACCCGTGTAAAAGTTTGCCAGGCCAAGGATTTGGCGACATTGAACACAATTAAAGCATTTCTTATGAAACATTTCCCCCTGTAAACAGAGTTTCTCTGCTTCATAAACTTTTCCCAAACATCTTGGACAGGTATCAGAACCACCTTCCTCACCTACAAATAATTTTTGAGCAGAAACAAGAATACAATTGTTATTTTCAAATTCAATTAAATTTTATGGTTTTCAAGCGAAGAAGAAAGAAGAATTTATTTTTGATTACCTTTTATGATGGAAGTGTCAGTGTTCAATCCAATTTGAGTGTGCATTATTTGTGGATAACAACCCTGCAAAACATTGGTAATTAAAGATAACCTTAGTTAAGTTTCTTAATAAAATGAGCCTAAAAGTTTAAAAACTAATTAACCTTGCAATAAATCTCTCCGTCAAAACCAACAAAAACTTGCATTTTGTCTAGTTGAGGTCTGTTACAAGTTTTACAGGTGAAGCATCTCAGATGGAAGTTCTTTCCTTTCTCCACAATCTCTTCAGCCTTAAACACTGCTCCTCCACATCTAGGAATCAATTTAAGTATTTGATATTTGGGATTATAGGTTGGAACTCATAAATTGTGAATATTGAGATCAATATGCTTGATTTCGATCTTGTTTTAATCCTAAACAGTTTGGGACCCTGTAGTTTTTTTGTCCTAGCACTCTCATTTTTGACACTATCACCGTGAAATTTTGTGACTTTTAATGAAAAGTAATTTAAAGGATTTTATGTTAAAAAAATATGTATTATGTATATGTATTACAGGGTAGGGTACAGGGTGGAAAAAAATTCCGGTCTGTGAAAAAAAATATAAAGCTACAGATCTATAAAACTATAATTTTGAAAATCCCTTCTTGAGTAATGCATGTAGAAACATTTGTCACACTTTGACATTTGTTTAAAAGAAATTTTTTTTTCTACCCTTTTTCAGACATCTTTTCAACCCTCCCTAGCACCCAAACTATTAAAGTTATCGGTTTAATTTTTTTTTCTTTAAACAGGCCATGAAAAANTTCCTAATAGATTCAGACACCCGGCCTTTATAGGGTTTATAAATTTAATCTTTATTCAGTATACTGTCAAGTGAGGAAAACAATCAACCAATAAGAAGCCATGGAATTATGCATTCACCAGGGAGAGAACATAAAGTATAGATTTCCAAAATCAAGAGATCAAAGATAAGAGCTGAAAACTTTAGAATGTGATATCCTTAATCCCGATCTATTAATTAATCTGTAGATTATTTTCATGAGGAGAACAAGCAATATTTAATCTGGAGATTAAGAAAAAGAGTGGATCAAGCATTAATCCAGATATCCTTCATTCAAAAGTTTTCAGCTCAGGCTAATGGGTATCCAACACAGAAGAGCAATCTAAAGTAATCAGTTGAAACTGTAAAATGTTTCGAAAAAGAGGACGGCTGACTGATTTTAAGTAAACTTTCCTTTTTAATCTTTAAATGGCTGTGAAAACTAAAAAACTAACCTTATGCCAACAGGGGGGGGGTAAAAACAATCTTTCTAAATTATTTATGGCAATTTTACAATACCTGGTACAACCTTGTCCCTCCCTCGGTTGGATGGTGGTAGTGTCTGCCCAAAGCTTTGGAGTTGTCCCAGCTCCAAACTTTGCGGAGTAACATTTCTTACAGTACACCCTCTCATCCGGGGCTTCAAAAGCATAAACTAACAACAGATTCTGTTAAAGAGACTGTTAACGTAATTTCATGTGAACCTCGATTCACAATTGTACCCTTGTCTGATCAAGTGAGTACTGTTTATAAATATGAAAACAGTCTATTTTCTATTGTGTTTTTTTTTTACTTTTCTACTTGGTCAAATTTGCGAATGAGTAGAGAAAATAAATAAAAAATATTAAACCAGTTGTAAATATGTGGTTCTGTTAGATTCGGTTAGACAATTTTCTACATTTTGATATAAACGTTGCTGGAGTGAAATTTCAATTACAGAACAATTATTACTTAAGAGTACTCCAACCCAACATGGTACTTAGAGAAGTGTATTTCATATAATACAATTCGTATCTAACATTTTTCTTTTAGTTTTAGTTGATTTTATAAATCTTTAACTCCAAGTTTGGTGCATTTTTTATTTTATTATGGGTAATTTTGTTTCTTTGCTGTTACATGGCAACCCTGAACTAAAACTAAATTGCGTTTTGAGTTTTCAAGTATAGTACAGAAGATTCTAACTTTTTTCATTTTAAATTTAATAACTAGTGTTTCCCTTTACAAGGAAAAAAACTCTATTATAATTTTGATGTGATTTTTATAATTTATCTTTATAATAAACGGTTTCAAGTAAGATGGATCTGAGTATACTGCACACTTGCTGCCTTTCATGATCATTGAACAATCTTAAATCATAAGATAAGTCTAACATTCGTATTCCTATTCTACAGTTTTATAGATCCCATTGTACAAGAAAAGTTTACTCACCTAGGGTAGAATCTAATTTTTTAGAACAGCCTTGACAATTAAAACATGTTTTATGGTAAACCAGGTTCCCAGAACTTATCTTCTCTAGTTGATATACAACTCCACCACACTAAATATAGCATATATTATAAATACACATATTTTATGGTAAACCAGGTTTCCAGAACTTATCTTCTCTAGTTGATACACCACTCCACCACACTAAATATAGCATATATTATAAATACGCATATTTTATGCTAAACCAGGTTTCCAGAACTTATCTTTTCTAGTTGATACACCACTCCACCACACTAAACAAAGCATATATTATAAATACACATATTTTGTGGCAAACCAGGTTCCCAGAACTTATCTTTTCTAGTTGATACACCACTCCACCACACTAAATATAGCATAGATTTTAAATACACATATTTTATGGTAAACCAGGTTTCCAGAACTTATCTTTCTAGTTGATACACCACTTCACCACACTAGATATAGCATATATTAAAAATACGCATATATTGTGGTAAACCAGATTACCAAAAGATGTCTTCTCTATGTTGATACACCACTCTACCACACTAGATATAGCATATATTATAAATACGCATATATTGTGGCAAACCAGGTTTCCAGAACTTATCTTCTCTAGTTGATATACCACTCCACCACAATAAATATAGTATATATTATATATATTATGCATGCATATATGTTGTGGTAAACCAGGTTTCCAGAACTTTTCTTCTCTAGTTGATATACCACTCCACCACACTAAAACAAGCTAATACATATATGCATTTATGTAAATATTTTATGCTTGTATGTTTGTTTGGTTACCAATTNAAAGTCAACAACTAGATATTTTTTATATATTTAAACTTTTTTCCTATCAAAAAACGTAAAAAGAGCCAAACCGCTGGGCCTCATAAACTTTATTGGGAACTTTACATTATGCCCAAGGAAGGTTTTTGAACAACGAGGAGAATGAAAAATGTTACGAAAAAGATGCTTTTAAAATTAGCTTTTTAATTTTGCTGGTTGCGTAAGACAAATATTATACTCTCCGTTCAAAAAAAAACCTTGTATTAAGAAAACACAAAGGTATAAAGATCTTGAAGAAAACTATGTCTTTTTCAGAAAACCTTATGATAGAAATATATGAAATATAAATCGAGAACTAAAGTTTTATTTTCAATATCCTAGTGTCGAGATTGTATAATATAAGCTGGTGAAAAAGATGTAATAACACACAATTTCATCCTTTTTATCATAAATTGAGGAGAAAGGGGAAATCTGTAAAAAATCTGCTCGGCTGGATATTTAAGTTTGTAAAGCAAATGTTAAAAACAAAACTTATTAATTTCCATTCTAGATATCATGCACTGCAGACTAAACATAAGGAGACGGACAAATTTATGCGACATTACTAGTATGACTTTGTTACTTTTGGGACATTTGTTTCCTTTAATTCGGATTTTATGCATAAGTATGAGAATAGCAAATTTATTTGGTTACATATGAGAAATTGAAATCTTACGTTCAATTTATTTTAGTTTAACTTTCATGAAATCTGATGATTGTTAATTTTGATGAAACAGCAGAAACCCATGTTTGCTAAATTTTACAGACGCCTGACATAACNAATAATCCGTGATTCATTCCTAATCGTACAAAATTTATAATTATGTCGCATTAATTTGATTACTACTTTTCATAAGGGGTAAAAAGGTGTCAGACGAAACATGACAGTTAAGAGACGGCTCATGGAGGTCTGTTTTGATATCTGATAATTATTTCTCTCATTCATTTGTTTACCTAATTTTAGAAGTAAAGTTCCTCAAAATTCCCCTTGTCCAAATACTTCAAAACTATGGCCTGTTTTTTTTTATTTAAAATTACTCAAGAAACGAAGAATTTTCTTCAGAATTCGACAAGTTTGATTTTATTATAAATTGAAATATAAACTAAATTTTTAATATCTATGTTAATATTCTAATGAGCACATGCAAATCAAAACACAGACCATATTTTGGTAATGCCTGGATTAGGAGAATTTTTATAATTGTATTTGATTCAGGTTGAATGCCGCATATTATTTCAAGGATCAAAGACGACCTTTAAGTATTTGCTCAAAAATTATGTTTCGTGGGACACCCTGTACCTATATACAGGTGTTAACAGTTCCTGGTTTCTTTAACCACTTTGACATTCGATCCTTTGAAAATTTGTTAATTGGAGCAATTCCCTTTAACTTCTTAAACATTTATAAAGGTATTTATTGCTGCTGGTTCCCTTTCGACCTTTCACATAGTTGTTTTTGTTATAAAATATGTTTAATTGTAGCTCCTGTTTCCCTTTAAGCTTGTTACATACCTTTATACAGGTGTTAGTATCTCCTGGTTCCCCTTTAACAGCTGTAACATCTGCTGTCTGATATCCTGGCTGTTGAAAGACAGACGAGTGACATGATTTACAATAAATCTGTCTGTCATTACCAACTGTTGCTGTCAAACCACTGAGATGCGTTGTGCAGAGAAAACAGCGTAAACAGCCCTAAAATATTAACAGACAACAGTTAAAGAGATGCAACATACATATTTTATAAAAAGGTTTCATATTAGAGTTTTTTTTTAAAGGGACTGTAAGTGTAATTTCAAGTGACCCTCCATGCAAGAGGGCAATGCCGCATTGCCCTCTGTCAATGCTCGATTTAAAGCGGGAGCCATTAAATGCTCGGATCCATTTTGAATTGTGTATCTAAGTATTTGTTTCTTTTATCTGTATTTCAATTATTTCAATTTGTAGGTTCTCTGCTTAACTACTTTTTGAGCAAGACAAACTTTTAATTAAATAACAACTATTTCGCTTGTATTTAGAATGAATTTGTTTCCATATAATTGAATGATTACTCGCCATAAGATTTAATTTTATTAAAAAATATCTTTGCAACCAGATGTTTCAGACCTTGGATATTTTTAACTACAAATTCTGTAATTCTGCTGGATCAAAGAGTCAAAGTTTGAAATGTCAAGTATTTAAGGTCCAAATCTGTTGGATTTGAGCTGTGCTCTAAACTAATAAAATGAGCTGAATCTTTGCCACTAGCTCAAATATTCGAACTCCTATATCTTTGCAACCTGAAACAATGCTTTGATACAAGAAAATTACAGTTTTAAATACATAAGCTTTCTGCACAAGGTTTTATAGTTAAAGATTTTTAGAAAATCAGTTTTTGTGGTAAAGACCACTGATTTGATTTGATTTGATTGAAGGATTTGAATAGGTGCTTCGAATTTGAACCGGTGGTAGGCAGTTCAAATTCATTAAATTCGGTCATATGTTGCAAAGATATGAGGATTAATAAGCTAGAATATGATGCATAGTAATTTAATTTACTATAAAGTTTATACCACTGGAAACCCCGGTTGTTTTTTAGTCAGATCATTTTTTTTATTTTTAAGTCAGATCATTAGATTTGCTACAGGGTGTCACAATAAACATGGGAATTGAGAGACGACTTGAAAGTCGTCTTTGATTTCTGATATTAAATGCATGGCACAGAAAGCAAAATAACGGTAAGCAAAATAAAGTGTTCTATTTTTTTGTAATTTAAAAATTGACGAAGATATTCGATATTTAGACAATTTTGATTTGATTAATAAATTGAAATTTGATCAAATTTCGCAAAATCTCTGTGAATTTTGAAGATACAAAAATGGTAGACCACATTTTGAAAATCTAAAGACCTGGCTTTTTCGATATTAAATGTTTATGCTGGAATACTGCAATAATTGTGTTCATAAAAAATGCCCCATGGATCGAAGACGATATAAAAGTCGTCACTGAATTCGACCCATGTTTATTGGGACACCCTGTACATAAACTCTTCATGAGTTTCTGTGAAATTAATAAGTTCTAATACAGGCTCTCTAAGCATCAATTAGTATTCAAATGGTTATTTTAAACTTTTCCTTTAAACATTTACTTCCTTAAACTTTGTCTGAGCTAGTGTAAAGTTTTCTAGCTGTTGCTGCGTAGACAAAACGTTTTTATTTGTTTTTAAGATTTATGAACAGACAAGTTATGGCGGAATTTCAATTATTTTTAGCAAAATTCTTTATTCTTCAAAGCAATAGGAGTTTATACTTTTGGGTATTTCTAAAAATTTGCACCTTTTGTAGTAAATTAATAAGCCGAGCTTTTCATAAAAAAAAGCAATATTTAAAGTAGTAAAATTCTAAATTATGGATAATCGTCTGAACTAAAAAGGAACTCAAATATTGCCTTAGATTATAATTTTCTTATTCAATTATTTCTTTGGTTCATGAAAAGGATTAGAAAGAAATGGAGTTTTTGCCACAAACTGAAATTTGTAATCCCCATTTCTTTTTAATCTGTTTGGGCAAACTTTAAATATTTGTTTAAAATAAAAAGAAATGTTAACCTATCTAGCAACCTTAAAAAGTAATTTAAAAGTAATTTCTTCCCAAAAACAAGCATATGGGANCGAAGAATTAACTTGGTATACCTCATATATTTTCAAAGGTGAACCTGTTATGTAGCATAACTTTTAGCTTCTTCTTCTGTCAAGATATATATACATATATATAAGTATCTAATAATCATTGCAAAGAAATGTTTGTAATAATATTTTAGAAAATACGCAATATGTGATGAAAAAATCTTGGAATTTTAGTTGTTCAAAGAATTGTAGCTACTGAGGATCGTCATGATAGACGTGAAACATTATGTTTAGTATAATTCTTTTTTTGATAAAAATGTGAAGTTTAAAACTGAAATATATATATATATATATAAATAGTTTGAAGTGTATAGTGCAGTGTATCTATACATAGATATAAAGTTGTAATCTCTGTTTGCCTGTCTGTTTGTTTTTCCAATCATAACTCAGGAACCCCTTTACTGATTTGCCTTAAATTTTAATTTGGGAGCTCATGGAAATGTTCCCGGTAAATTCGAGTAAACGGCGGAATTAACTATGAGTACTCTGGCATCGCTGGGTTCCCAAGCTATTATATCTATTTATATAAAGTTGTAATCTCCGTTTGTCTGTTTGTTTGTTTTTCCGATCATAACTCAGGAACCCCTGGACTGATTTGCCTCAAATTTTGATAAAGACACTCGGGAGGACTACGAGAATGTTCTTATAAGCTTGGTATTTTAAGTTGAGTGGATCGACTTTTATCGGGTAAATAGTTAAAATCGTAATTTACGGCAAAGCGCGGGTAATTAGTGGGACTAACTATGACCCAATGTGCTACTCTGGGTTCCCAAGCTAGTGTATAAATATTAGTTTGTAGTGATTTACCTGAAATATGAAATTTTTTCTTATAGCAGGGTTGACAATACAGATCAGATTTAGGACCATCACAAGCTGTCATATAATCAAGCAATCTAAGCAAAAAAGTGACTGTCGATGAAATTTCATTAAAATAGTTTTTTTTTAAAGGGACTGTTCACGTAATATAGTTACATTCCTGATTCATAACTGTACCATTTAATTTAAAGCTTTTTAAAGTAACAACAAGGAAACTATTTTCTAAAAAGCGTTTAAATATGTTGATTTCTTTCCTTTTCTATGCTGCATAAATAAAGTAAATGCACAATATTTTCTAACCTGGCACAAGTATCACAGGTAAAACATCGTTTATGAAATATTCCTGCTTTAGCCTCCATCTTTTCTGCTTCAAACACCTACAATAAACTTTAATTTAGAAAATCGGAAAATATCATGCTTTTTATTTTGTTTTATCTATTGGTTAGTTTGTTTCCAGTATGTTCGTCAAAACGGATGAACCAAGCGGCTATTATATGGCCGGTCAGAATCAAACAAATGCTCATTTTTTGATTTGCTAACTAGCGCAAGACGATCTACGAAATTTGTTTTTGTTTTTGTTGATTTACTAAGAAAAAATGCCCTTAGAGATGTGGAAACACCAAAAAACCTTTTCTGTTTTTACTACATATTGTGTTCTGCATACAGTTATAACATTTTATATTTTTTAGAAAATAACATTTTAAAATATTTACGAGAAACTCTTTTTTAATGCGCAATGTTTTTGAATTATGACTAAAAACATGCTTAAATAATTTAATTTTAAATCCGATATTTATGAAATGTTTTCCTATTACTCCGATCCTGTTAACATTCTTTCCCCTCATTTATTTCTGTCCAGTTTGAAAGGTAGAGTACTTTTAGATTTTACAGAATTATTTTATTTTATTTATTTCGCAGATTTATTCTCCATCTGTGGGGGTTATGGTTTGTTCAATATTGAGAAGTGAAAAAAACATATTAGTCATAAACTCGTAATTTTGCAGTTTTATGTTGTATAACCCCCTCATTATATCCATGATCACTACCTTTAACATGAACACGATTGCTATCTGCAGATCTAGACTCATATTTCCTCTAATATTTAATCTTGTTAATATAAAACTAATTAGATCAAGTTGGAAAATTTCAAAATTTGATGGATTAAAGGCTAGAAAAACTTGACCGATAACTTATCAGTAAATCAGCTTTAATTTTTCGGAATATATATACCGGGTGTCACGCATCAGATTGGATTGTTGATATGCTTTAAATTGGAATTTTTGGAAATAAAAATGAAAAAAATTGTATCCGGTCAATATTAACATCTGCATGCATAACAATAGAGTTATTAGAGTATTATTTTAGTGTTTTAGCTGACATTTAGTCTAGCTAATATGATGCAAAATGGGGCAAGCTTCAGTAATTTCCATAAATAAGCTTAGAATGTTGCCGTTGGGATTGACGATTTTCATCGAACATTCAACAATCTTTATAGAAATGCGCAAATTTGTCACACCTTTTATACATAAATGACAAATAAATCAAAAGATGATATTCACTTTGGAGAAAACTTAGTTAAAAAGCCAAAAATAACATGTTTTCTAAATATATTCCCCCCCCCGCCCCCAGCAATATTCTATTAAATGCAAATCTGTTTAATAATTCATATACCGTCTGCCTTTCTCTATAAGCACTAAACTTATTAGCTTCATTCTGTACAGTGTACGTATTTCAGATCCTGTACAATATGTACATTGTAGAACAGTACAACGTACATTTTATATCCTGTACTATTTTATGTATCCTATTCAATGTACATTGTACACATTCTCTTTATACTAACGCAAAAGGATGTATATCTTTGTGCATAGCAAGGACCCCTATACAGGAACGCCCAACTCAGATGTACGCAAATTGTGTACTTTACACTATGAGAGGAATGTAAACAAAGTTACAAACCCAGTGCCCCTATAGAAGTTGAAGGGAAAGGATGTGATATTACAGTCCAACAAAAAACAAGCTAATAAATCAAGTTAGAGCGAATAGTTATGATTTTTGGCTTTCTGGTCAATATGGAAAATGCAAAAGCAATATATTCTTATTCCACCCCTTAGGCCCCTTTCCCTCAAAATAATGCGTTGCCCCTGAATTCTTTGTTTTGATATCCTCCCACTGCAGTACACAGATTTGACGCATCTATATATTTCTTGGTGCATAGCATATTTTACTCAACGATATTTTGTATTCTGCACTCAAAACTAGGGTTTCCAATTGGAATTCCGTTGTGTGGAATTGCACTATAAAGGTGAACAAAGAAGCAATTAAATATTCGTGAAATTGCGCGGAATTGCTTGCAACGGAAATGCTTAGCAAAGGCTTTTCCATCTAAAAATAAATAATTTTGAACTGTGAATTACAAATTTATGCAGCTGATACACGTATGGAAATGGACAGAAGTTATCTCTGTAGATTTAAAAGTAATCGAGAGTTACTTGAAATTTTTAAGCTACTAATTAACAATTTAATATGATTCGTTTTTTTGGTTAAAATTGTAAGATTCATTTAATCAAAATTAGATATTTTGCTAGTTTCATTCCTACAGCCTTTGATAACAATTCTCTTCTAGAAAGCTCTGTGCACTATTTGCAGTGGCGCGCTGAGCAAGGTGTCTGCACATATGGAGGGAGGGAAGGCTAAGCGGACCTAAACCCCATGCTCTATTAGCTAGCCTCCTGCTTAACTACAGTACCCAGGGCCGCGTAGTCAAGAATTAGAAATAACACAGAGCTATATGTTTAATACTAATCTGGTTTTATATCCACTCCAATTAGCCATCGGAGCCCTTATTGGAAGGGACTTTTTCCTGCTTCCTGAGCAGAGCTGATAAAAGGGACAACTACGCATTGTGCATGCAGTGGTGCACAATAAATGCAATACTTCCTAAAGGAATTCCGTTGGACTGGGAAACAGTATAACATGTGGACAAATGGAGTGATTTTAATGAAACACTCATCATTGGATGGCATTGCGCACTATAGCCCACAATTGCGCGCAATTAAATTCACTTGCGGGAAAGTATACCCTACTCAAAACTAAACTTAATGGATTATATTATGTAGCTTATACTCAATCTATGCTGAACATATAGTATCCAAATATATTCTATAACTATACTCTATTTCCAAATATGTTCTTATATATCCTGTAATCATATACTAAGCATATATATTGTATGGAATGATATTATGTACAATATTTACAGTGAAACCCTTAATAACGAATACATCGAAAGAATTCATCAAAAAAATCTTCCGATGTATTCTTTCGATGTTTCACTGTATTTCTGTATCCTTTCCTCCTATGTTATATATATATATTAATGATGTAATGCATGTATTGTGGAGATCCGTATATATTGTCTTCAAGTCCAGAAGCTCTGGCTTCCAAACCAAATATATATTATTAACTCGTGTTCATGTATTTGCTCCTTTATTGGTCACTACACTTGGTGACCCCAACGTGATTTTTTTGTCGGAAATAATTATCACTCTCGTTGATGCATCTGAAATTGGTTTCTACAGAGTCCCTGCTCTTTTCATACAAAAACTGGCCTCCTTCATTCTCTAGTGCAGAAGCTCTCAAAGGTAAGCCTTTGACCCTGATCTGGAACCTAGAGATGAAGCAGTCCTTTGCAGCTGCCAAATGTGTCCTGCCAAATGTTCCAACTCTTGTTCTGCACCCTCACCCCTCCGCTCGGATACCTTTGTCAGTAGATGCCTTCAGTTCTTATTTTGGAACAGTCTCGCATCAAGAATTAGCCGGCTCCTGGGCTCCTCTGGCCATCTACTCCAAGAAGTTATCCTCTCCAAAAACCAAATACTTGTTTGCAGCCTACTCCTCTCTCTGTCATTTTCGTTATTATTAGGTAAAAAGTTTATATTGTTCACTGACCACAAACCTTTTGTACTACTGATTTTATAAAAACGATTTGCGACCGTTTTTTATAGGATTGTTTTTTAAAAAACGATCGCTTTTGAATTTTTTTTTTTTTGACAGTTATGTTAACAATCATCAACGAAGGGTCGTCGTTAACGATCATAACAAAGGGTTGTCGTTAGCGATCGTTAACGAAACGACGAACTTTTTAAAAACGGTTGTTTTTGGGAAAACGATTGCTTTTGGGAAAACGATTGTTTTTGAAAAAAAAACTACATATGCAACTTTATTGAATGTCGTCTTACATGAAGTTTAACAGTTGTGGGGGAGCTAAAACTTCTTGATATTTTCTTAAAAACTACTCATTGATAAGTACAGACGCCCTAGAGGTCGGTTTCCTCTTTTCGTTAACGATCATTAACAAAAGGTTGTCGTTAACGATCGTTAACTAAAGGTTGTCGTTAACGATCATTAACGAAGGTTCGTCGTTAACTATCGTTAATGAAGGGTCGTCGTTAACGATTGTAAACGAAATTTTGTTGTTAATGATCGTTAAAAAAGGGCCGTCATTAACGATAGTGAATGAAACGACAAGTTTTATAAAAACGATTGGTTTGAAAAACGATCGTTTTTCAAAACGATCATTTTTCTAAACGACCATTTTCAAAAAACGAACTTTTAAAAAACTATCGTTTTTAAAAAGAATCGTTTCGTTTTCGATTTTTCTTTGTCGTTTTCATAACGAAACGATCGTTTAAAAAAAATGAAAACGTTAATATCCCTACAGTTAGGATACTCAAGCTCAATCACTGATCTTACCTTACCCCCGCATCTAGGACAGCCAGGAACTCCTTGATCTGCTAGGATAGATGTTGTATCCACCAAGGACTTAGGATACTCGAGCTCTACCACTGATTTCTCCTGACAACGTTTTTCTTATGCCAAAGAACTTTTGATGGTCAGATGTAAATGATATTGCAACATTTATCTATTTATTTACTTTATTTATGACCACTGATAAGTTTTTACATTGTTTAAAACAAAATTACTTATTTAAATGCGTAGGATTTTCAATCAACATTCTGATCTATAATGCATGTTTATGCTTTAATAACAAATTAAAAAATGTTAGCATAAAATTCCTTGTAAAAGCAACCATTGCAAAATATCTTGTTCTCTGCCCCGCTGTTAAAGCTGTTGTAATCTAGAATCTGACTGCATCTAAACAAATTCAATTTTTCCAATGTTGTGATTTAAAAACTCAGTCTCAAGTCTAACGTTCAAAGGAATTGTGTCTTTACCACAGATTCAAATATCTTTGTAACTTGATTTTAAACTTTGATCATTTGATCTGTTAGCATTCATAGCTTCACATATCTACGACATTAGATTGCAAAGATAAAGAGATTATAAAATCAGAGTTTGTGGCAAACCCTCAATTTAGAACCGAGACTCGAATTGTTGAGTTTAATTGCCGAAGTGATTTTCTGGTTCCTAAATTAGACGCAACCTACCTCAAGGATCGAGCCTAATTTTAATCTAAATGGCAGCTTAGACTTGGGTTTAATTTTCCCTAAATTATTTAAATCGCGGATTCTGGTGAATTTCATAAATTCATTTTTTCCTCTTCCAAACTTTTAATATTGAGCATTAGAACTGATTTATTGCCTCATGTAAATAGCGATGGTCAATAGCTAGGTTCGTTTACAGAAACATTAAATATTTGAGACTTTGAAAAGGTTATACGACAAACTGAGAAGGGTCCAACATTTTAAAATTGTATTTTGTAGAAGTTTGTTTTTATCACACATACAAATTTGTTATCCTAGGTGAAAATATAAAGCGAAAACGAACCAAAAACTATCGTTTTATAATGAACGTTTTTGCCTTATATTTTCTCCTAGGGTAACAAATTTGCTTGTTTGATGAAAGCGAAATTCTACAGAATAAAGTTTTAAAATGTTCTGTTAAAAGTTTCTGTAAAACGAATCTAGCATTTGCCCATCCCTACCTGTAAACCATATTCAGAAATATATTCTCTTCAACCACGAAATATGACATTCAAGGTCTACAGGGGAGACAAGGAGGTGGTTTTCTGGTTTTAGTTTTTTAGTTAAAAATGCCGGGGGGGGGGGGGGTTGCGAATTTCTCGCCCTCTACAATATTTTTAGAAATTTCAATTTTCACCTTGAAATATCTTGACTTTTAAGAAATATTGATTTAAAGGATGTTTTGCAAAAACAAGTGTCACAATTTCGTGTTTGTCAAAAATAAAACTTTTATTTTTTCAGCTTTATACTTATACCATTTTTGTAACTTTTAGAATTGGTCTATGATTTAAGGCCTTTCTGAGATGATTTAGATTAGACACGTACAAAGCCTTTAGGTTGAAAAGAAAAGAAGACATTTTATGATAACATCATTTTACCTTTTATTATTTTTTTTCAAAGATTTAGTAATATTTGAATAACTAAAGAATATTCTTGAAAATATTAAATTTGACCTGTGACACTTAAAGCATGATGTATGATAGCAGCCATTACTAGCCGCCATTTTTTCAGCTGCGTAAACTTTACCGCCACATCGCAGACATCTTGTTTTATCCCCCTCTGGAGCCTTATTAGAGAATTAAAATGATGATGCTGTGTTTCATTATAATGTTCCATTTGACTATTTAAAATCATTAATGGAAGTTTTTCTATTTCAATGTTTTGATGTTCTACTGAATTTATGTATACAAGATAACATTTTTCTTGCTGCAGCCATTTTTTTTGTCTGTTTATGTTTAAATTAATTTATTGAATTTTCAAGAAAAAATGTCTGTTTCTTAAATGTGAGAATTAAAATGGGATTGTCGTTTTAATTTAATCGGTTATTTAAATTTGAACCAAATTCATTAAATTTGGTTCCGGATTATACAAAAATGTTAATAATAATCCACGATATTTATGACGAAAATCTTTGATCTCGAGTTTAAAAATTTAATAAAAAGCCGAGGTTGCTTGAAATAATCAAAGCTCTACCTGGATTAGCTTTGTATCTGAAGGTCCCACCGACTTTGCTCGTCTATGACCAAACAGCACAGCATAGCAAACCTGCAATGCTTTAAGAAATTATTTCACGCAAATCTTTAAAGATTTTTTCAAATGCACTTTGTAACCATAATAATTAATATATAATTTGTATAACATCTAAAGCCGAATTTCAGGAATTTGAGCCACGGCTTTAGTTTAAGCCGGGGCTCAAACATAGTTGGTTCCACTTAAAATTGTATTCAAATTTTTAATACTTAAGCCGGAGCTCAATTGAAACCGGTTTTTGGGGGATTTCATTGGGGGCTTTAATTCATTAAATTCGGACACAGGGTTTATTACCTTGCAATATATATCCCTATCCTGGGCTTCCATAAAGTTAGTTGCATTCAGACCTTTCTTACAATAAGCACAAGACAGACAACTTTTATGATAATGATGAACTTTTGTCAAAACTTTCTCAGCTTCAAATACAATCCCTTCACATCTAAAAGGGCAAAGTTAAACAATTAAAAATCTAGATTTAAAAAAAAAAATAATGAAAAAAATAAAGTAAGGAGTAAAAATTTATAACATAAGCAGTTAGAGCTTGTAGAAAATCAGTACGTTTGTGTAATACTTTTTTACTTTTATGCATAGCAATGCATTGAAAACCAAACTTAGGAAAACTGTCCCATACAGATGCTTATCTTGAGCACCTTAAGAAAAAATTATGGGAAAAACAGAAAGGTGTTAAAATGAACTAATTAGTTTTTGCAAAATTTAATTTTCACTTCTTATATCTTTGAAACCTTATGTCGTGAACCTTTGATATTTCATACAAAAATTCTGTAAACCAAAAAGCCAAAGTTTGAAATATCTTAAGTTTGCCCATTATTATGTCGTGAAGACAGAGAAAAGATAATTGATGTGTTTTTACTCGAAAAAATCATAAATCCTACGTTTGTGAATTATATAATTTAATTGTAATTTTATTTTTATTAATGTTCTTGCCTGGGACATTTAGCTCCATTACCAGCCTTGATAACTGAGGTACTCCCTGGACCTAAAAGGGAATATTGCAGTAATTATAACTGAATCCCCAGTTCAGTTTATTGACTGATTCACAACGGTACCCTTTAATTTCTTGGCTGATCAGGAAAAAGGAAGATATCATCGTTTTCCGATAAAAAAAGTGTTGAATTCTGCCAGTATCTTTTTGTCATCTTTGCTCAAACGAAGGTTACATGTGTATATCGTTGTTACCGTGAAATTACGCATACCAGATCCTTGAATGAAAGATTTAAATACTACTGAAATCTTGAAATTGTTAAATCTTAAACTTTTCAAAGTTTTTACTGATCTGATTTCTTCTTTCAAATGCAAAGTTTAGAAGATGTTTGTGAAAAGAATTCTCTAAATCCCCTGCTAGGTCCTGCTAGGTCCTGCTTGGATCTCCAGGATTGATTAGAGAATAGAGATTGATATACAGACTAGTCTTTCACTGTACATAATTGAGCAGAACAGTGAACCAGAGCATTAAATCTTAAAAGATTGTCGACTTAAGGTTTAGGGGGTCCGAAAACCGTACACTAGGACGGACCCAAAATATCAATTTTCACATATAAAAACCAAGATTCATTAGGCTCCGGCAAAATTGACAAGTTACCAATAATGTGAATCAAACATATGATGATATGTTGCAGTAAATGGAACCACCTTCAATGTCTGTGTTCAGTTATTTCATTTTGTATTTAATCGTGGTTTGGTTTATGTATATAATTCATTCATTTTTAAACTTACAGGTTTCTCTACTTTTTACTTTGAATCCTTTCCGTCGACAAAAAAGCATAAAAAAACAAAAAATCTATGTTTGGTTGGACAAGTGACATGTTGCAGGTAGTGATGGATCGTTTTCACGCTTTGAAAAATGATCTTTTCGTTTTCAAAACGACGAAGAAAAAATAAAAAACGAAACGATCGAATTTAAAAAAATACCGTATTTTAAAAATAGTTCATTTTCAAAAACGATCGTTTTTCGTTTTAAATAAGAAACGATCGTTTTATAAAAAGTGATAGTTTTTGAAAACGACCCTTTGTTAACGACCGCTAACGACGACCCTTCGTTAACGTTCGTTAACGACCTTTTAAAGATAAAATACATGTTTTATCGGAAAATCCGAGGTCAGTGAACATTCAAGTTATTTGTTTCGATAAATAAAACATTTAAGACAACATTCAAATTCCTTATCTTTCTGAAAAAAACTTGAAATTATTTTCATAAAACTCAGATTCATTAGCGATTTATAACCCTATGCAGGACAAGCACTATTAAATCAGTGTAAAAATCCTTTCTCCATACAATTGTATATCAAACTGTATAATGGCGAAAATGGGTTTAAAATGAGGACTTACTGACTAGAAAACTATGACAGGAAGAAGTATTCCTATCCGATGAAGATCTAGGATATGAAAATCTAAAATGATTTTGGAAGAAACTTAGATATTCTAAGATTATTAAACTTAGTTCTAAACCTATTCAGAAACTTGGTTTAGGGAGATCTCTCCTGCACCATTAATTTATAGAAGAAAATCAAAAAGAAATAGATACTCTAATAAAACATTAATAAGTTAAAACATTTATAAGTTTTTTCTTCACTTTGGAGTATTTACAAGAAAATGGTAAAATAACGGTATAAGAGGGGGGGGATTCACTCAGCCCCTTGGAAACATTTCTGTAAACGCCCCTGGTCTTGGAGGGTGACGCTTTTCTTTCATTTATAATGTACTTCAATTTTACTTCAATATTGATCTCTTGTCTATAATAGTCCTTAATCTAAATAAAGCCAAAATGTTCTTTTCGAGATTTTAAAAAGAAAATATGTACAACAGAGATAAATATTTACCTACAGATCTTGATCTTACATCAAAGTTTCTTCTGTAACACGTTATACAGAACACCTTCCCATCGTGTTCAGTACAACTGGAAGCGTCCAAAGGCCTATTAGAATTTGCAAAAAGTGAATAGATATTAGTAGGGTGAATATGGTTTGCATACAGTTTACTCACACCGGACTAACCAGAGTGAATAGCATTCGGTTTCTTCTATTTAAAATCAAACGTGTTTTGGTCTACAATTCAACAATCTTTTACGTTACGGATTTGTTTATACTATACATTTTCATTTAAAATGCATATGCCGACAAAAAAGTATTTAAGAAAAAAGGCTAAAAAATTATGTCTAATGGGTCAAATTGTGATCGAAAGTCACAGCTTTCTGTAATAATGACAGAATCGTTAAATCCACGTGTACTGCAATGAATTAAGAACTTTCAGGCAATGATTTAAAGGTACTGTAAGCTTAATTTCAAGTAACCTTTCATTAAACCATGGGTGGCCAAATTCCCTCACTTCTCCTAGAAAAAGGCCTGAGAGTAAAGGTATAGGTTTTCAATGCCATGTTCATNTGAACATTAAGAAAAGAGAACAGTGGAAATTGATCTCAAATTGTTTGTAAATATTGAATGTGAAGACAGAGAACTTTTGAATAGGGAAATTAAGCTAAAAACCCCCCAAAAAGTAACTTATTACATTTAAAAAATTAAAAATGTTAAAAACATTTTGAAATTTTATTTTTACCTTGAACACAGTTGGCATAGGAAACAGGTTTTATGATAAACTCCAGATTTAATCCGAATCTGTTCTGCCTGGAACACTTTCCCTCCACATCGGGGGCAGCCTGACCCGTCCTGGTCGAGTATACTTTTTAATCCAGGACTACCTGAACCAAAAAAGTTATTGTATTTGCTAGTCACTCAGACTATAGATACTAGTCTAGATGGAAAGGTGGCAGTATTTGGTTTGGGCTTAACAAGTCAAATAGTGCCAGCTACCGGTTTATATACAGGGTGTCCCACGAAACATGACAGAATGCAAGAAGACTTGAATATCGTCTTGATTTTTGATATAATTTGCTGCATTTATTTGTCAACCTAATTTTAGAAGTATCATTCTAAAGATAATAATCACAAAATACCCATAAGTCCTGGCATTTCCAAATTGTGGTCTGCCTTATTTGTGCATTCAATATTACCCAAGATATAAAAAATGAACAAAATTCTTACTATCTTCGGTAATATTGAAAGCACAAAAACGCAGACCACTTTTTGGAAATTTTTCAATTAAATTTTCTCTGCAATGTGACTTGCGCATTTCTGATTAAGAAACAATGGAGCAAATTGTCAGACTCAAACTAGATTTCTTCCACATCAATGTTCAGATAAGGTTCAAAGGTACCGTTGTGAATTACATATGGCTCTATAATGTATTTGACCTCTCCCCTCCATTTTTTTACTTTAAAATAAACTGATAAAAATAAGAAATAATAATTGTGATTGATAGTTTTTCCTTCATACTACAATTTTTTTTAAAAGAATCAAAAATTTAAACACGGATATTTAATTCATTTATACTTGATTTATGCCCAGGTGAATCGGACACGCCACTTAATTCATTTTCTAATTTTCTAATTTTCTAATTTTCTAAACATGTTTAAGATGTTTTGTTTGAATCTACCTGATAAAGGAGTGTGTTGTATATTAGGATAGCAGGAGGCACAGTAAACATTTTTATCAAACCCAACAAATACCTGAAATTTTTTTATTTTTAAACTTTGACAAAAATAATCAAAAATAAGACAACATTTGACTTTAACAAAAATTTAACAAATATATGAAAAAAAATTTAACAAACAAACATAAAAAATGTGCTATGAAAAACAAACAAAAAACGAAAATATGACAAAAATATGAAGAACATTGATTTGTCTCCTAAAAATATCTGATACGGCAAAAAGTTATATTTATAGTTTGAAGGGACTTTCATTGTTTTTCACTTAAAAATGGCTGTTTCACTGCACGGTGCCCTTTAAACCGTATATTCTAGTTTTAAAAGTGTTTAATTCTGACAATTATTCCAATGTTTCTGAAGCAGAAATACGCAAGAATTACATAGAGAAACCAAAAGTTTAAAAAATCATTTTTTTAAATGCGTTTAATGGAACGGTTGTGAATGGAACAGGCCCCTCTATGATGTTTAGAAATAACATGAAAAATTAGATATAAAAATTTTGCGATAAAAAACTCAAAAAATCTTGAATTTACCTGAAGTTTGTCATCCTGTGGTCGTCTACACTTACAACAAATGAAACATTTTTTATGATAATATTTGCCATTTTCTCCAACCTTAGTTTTGTTTGAATCTACCTGATAAAGGAGTGTGTTGTATATTAGGATAGCAGGAGGCACAGTAAACATTTTTATCAAACCCAACAAATACCTGAATTATTTTCTAAAATTTTGACAAAAATATCTAAAAATATGACAAAGTTTGACGAAAATATGACCAAATGACATAAATATGTAAAGATTTGACAAAATATGACAAAAATATGTTAAACTTATGTCAAAAATATGTCAAAAAACGATACAAGTAAGACAATAATATGACAAAAATATGACAAAAATATGTCATAGATATGACAAAATTATTACAAAAATAACACAATATATGACAAAAGCATAACAAAAATATTACAAAAATATAACGAAATATAAAGAAAAATATAACAAAATTTTAACAAAAATATGAAAAAGATGTCAAAAATTAAAAAAAAAATATGTCAAAAATTTAAAAAAAACGAAAATATGACAAAAATATGAAGAACATTGTTTTGTCTCCTTAAAAATATCTCATATGGCAAAAAGTTATATTTATAGTTTAAAGGGACTGCCATTGTTTTTCATTTGAAAATGGCCATGGCTGTTTCACAACGTTGCTCTTTTAACCGTATATTCTATCTTTGAAAGTGTTTAATTCTGACAATTGCTCAATTTTTTCTGAAGCAGAAATTAGCAAGAATTACAAAGAGAAACCGAAAGTTTGAAAAATCATTTTTTAAGTGCGTTTAAGGGAACCGATGTGAATAGAAAAAAAACATGAAAAAATGAAAATTCGTCCATTCTCCAATACTAATCCACCAAATAATAATTTAGCAATAAAAACTCAAAAAAAAAACTTGAATTTACCTGAAGTTTGTCATCCTGTGGTCGTCTACACTTACAACAAATGAAACATTTTTTATGATAATATTTGCCATTTTCTCCAACCTTTTCCGCCTCAAAAACGACTCCGCCGCAGTTAGGACATCCCTCCTCCGCCCTAGAAAATGAGTGAGGGGGCAAAATTATTTTTAAAAAGACAACAATATTTTTATTTTCTTCAATTACGGAGAGGGAAGATTTATTTTATTGAAAATTTAAACAAAATTCATTTTACATTAATTTTTTGTTCTGATTTCATTGCAGAACTCAATGTTTAAAGGGACTGTAGAGGTATTTTCAAGTGACCCTATATTTAAAGAGAGACTGTCTGATTCACAATGATACCCGATCTTGATCAGTCCCAGGTTTGACATGTTGTGAATCGGACCTGCCTGAAATTACGTCGCCAGACCATTTAACTTTCCATAATATTTTAATTTAATTGTAGAATTATGTTGTTAAAAATACCTTTGAGGTTTAATTTTAGAAGTGTCAGTGAAGAGGGCTGGAGATGGAGGCCTTATTGCTTGAGCATGACATGTCCTAAAAAGAGAGTGGTGGGCCAATTTTTATATTAGAGTGNCTATTACCTAGCCAATTACTTTCTTTAATTTAATCTCAGATCATTATTCCTCAAGTCATTCGAGTCGTCTTTTCAGTCTCATCCTTTGTGGGTATCCCTGTAAATATACCTGCAGTGTATTTTCCCAGTATGCAGATGCGCCGAATTAGAACTGATACAAAACTATTTGAACTTTTCTTCAAATTATTACTTCACAAAATAAATTACATTTTAATAGAATTAGGAAGTTTTTGAATGAGAGAAAAATAGAAAAACTATATTTCAGAAATCTTTTATTTTCAGATTTCTTCTTGATATTTCATCAATGTTCAAAGAAATTGAGTTGTGCCACAAACTCAAATTTTGTATCCCAAAATCTGTGCAAAACAAAGTTTTAGAAATTTGATACTTCAAATATGAATTCTGTTAGATCAAATAATCTAAGCTTGAAATAAGGTTTCACCATCAGGTTCCAGAGATATATGGATTAGAAAATTTGAGTTTGTGGCAAAAACTCAATTGCTTTTACCAAACTACTAAAGAAACAGCTATTATCCAACTAATACTATCATTTTCTAATCCTTTGTAAATTGGACCTATGTTGATCTAAAGCAGAATTTATAGATTGAAATAACGAAGGTTTACAACATAATGGCTTGAACAGATACAAGGATAGAAAACAAATGGCATAAAGAGGGTTCTTATCTAAGAGATGAATACTCTCAGTGATTCCCATAAAACTCTGGTATATGAAGAAGACATTTAAAAGCAATATTGTCTGTAGTTGGTTATGTTATAAAGCAAATTCTGTTACCGGTAACATCAACTTATTAAGTGAAATGGGTCTGTGTATACTGCACGATTGAAGTATTCGTTATCATTGAACTATTTAAAATCATTACTTAAGCCCAATAGTCGTCTTTTTATTCGACAGTTTTATGAGTCTCACTGTATCAAAATAGTTTTGTTGTAAATATAAAAAAACATCTTCTAATAGTTTCCTGAGTAGTTTACTACAGTTAGTGCACTTGAAGCAGGCTTTATGATATACACGATTCCCTACAAATATTCTAACTATGATACAGTCACTCCTGTATGCCGAGTCCATTAGCGCCTGATCCAATCAGGGTTCAGTCATGTGTTTATTGTCTATTCTGAACCAGTAGAAATAGTTTGGCGCTAACATCTATCTTTCTATCTATCTCATTTATCCAATCAAAGTTATGAATCCTTCAATTGGCGCTATCAGTGGAAATATTTACTTCTACTGAAACTATGGTGCAGTGATAACCAGAAAACTCTGGAATAGGAAGAAAATTATTACGCTTAAATGATGACTTTAATTAGTCCAATGAGCTTGGGCCACAGCAGTTGTGAACTTGTGCATTGTAAACAGGCCCATTTAATTAAACAGTGATTTAATATATATCTAGTAAAACTATTTACTTTGTAACAACATCAAATACACTTAAGTATTACTCTAAAGTCGTCTTCCTGTTTAAGAGTTTTCTGGTTATCACTGTATTAGTTTTTAGCTTTCGAGAATGACGAACGAATACTACTGTATCCAAAAACTTTAAACAAATTAATAATCAAAATGCAGAAGATTTAATTTTTAAAGTAAAACATTAATTTTATATTCCTTTAATTTTATTAATATTTCAAAGCTAAACTATTTGATATAACAACATTCATAGTTGGAAATATCTAAAGTCTACGAAATCAGGTTGCAAAGACATAGGGATTATAAAGTTTATGTTTGTGAAAAGTGTTCAGTTTTTCGAAAGCCAAAGAATAGATAAAAACAAATGGCTGGACTAAAAAGTATCAAATCAAAAAGTTTGACTGCTGTTTTCACAACGTGGATTTTGTTTATTCTGTTTGAGTTTTGTAAATGTAAATAAACACTTTCCGTCTGATTTATGTCCTAAGTTTAGAAAAGTTGAAAATTGTTGAAAAGACTTTTAAAAGTTTGAAGAGATTTCCAAGACTTAGTTGGTTTTACTTAACATTATAGATTGACCGATGCATTTGCGGGCTGGTCCTATTTCTTTATTTTGTATAGGGGGGGGGGGGGGGTGCCTTTTCGTTCGGTGGTAAATTATTATTTAGATGTTCACCGAACGGAGTTTTACTAAGTCAAATTCAATGATCTTCTAAAGTCGCCCATTAAAAATTAATTTTTAATGTTTTAAAAAATTACAACAAAAAAAATATGCAAAATAAAAAAGCATGGAGCTAAACTTGTATCTTGCTGTTGTTGTTTATACCATAAAGATACAGATTTAAACGTCCAATCAAACAATTTTTTTGAAAATAATTAAATCATATCTTTTTGTTTAAAACAAAATTGCATTAAACAAGATTTACATTTATAATTAATTGTTTGGATATCGCATCTTTAGGTTGACAGGGTTGGCTAAAAACGGCTGCAATCCAAGAAATAAAAAAAAGAATAAAAAAAATAAAAATAAATATATTTTGACCTGCTGTTATAGATTCTGCTTGATAAACCAAGGAACCACAATGTTCACAAGTTTCCCCTGCCATAGCTGAATATAACCTTGTTTTAAAGTCAACTCAAGCCAATTTCAGGCCCAAATAAATTCAGATCAGAACATACTTTTTTCTGAAATTAGAGGATTTTATGGAACAAATTAGCGTTTTCTATAATTGAATTTTTTTGTTATTAATTTTCAGAGATACGAATTAGTTAACTTTTAGAATGCATTGGGCAAGTAACTTTAACGCATTTTTGTCAAATTTTCATTTGAAAAAATTTATCTATGCAGTATTTGAAACTTTTCAGAGAATAATTGTTACAAAGCGATTAAATATATAAATAACACAATGTTTGTTAAATGATTATAATGCTACAGAAAAGAGAAAAAAACCTTTTATCAAATGATATTATGTTATACATGGCAACAAAATAATTAATTCTTAACTTAAGATTTCATTTTATTTTAAATTTCAATTTTAATAATTGAATAAACGAGATAATATTCCTATTTAGTACAAAACCTATAATTTTTTAAATGATATTAGAAACACGGAAACAAATTATGATTTTAAGATTTTATTTTATTCTATTTCATATTTTAATTTGCTATCTTGAGCTAGATATTCCTATCTGATGTGAACTGACCCAAATGCTTCAAACTACTAGTTTAGTAGACTGAGGCTAGCGCGGTAAAAAAGCTAATTCAATGCATTTGCATCAAGTCAGGTCATGGGGAAATATGATATATAATTTCTAAATGTTAAAGGAATATCCGTCAAAATTGTATTTAACAATTTTAGAGGGTCATTATATATTTACAACTAAATTACATTTAAAGTTATTCAGAATTTATGCGATGTTACTGATTCAACTTAGTGACCTCGTAGCTCCTCTAGTTTTGATTTTAAGTATAAGCAAAGCAAAGTTTTCATCTAGAAATTTAAAACATTTCTATTCTTGTTAATTTAGTTCTTCAACAGTTATAATGAGTAAAGGATACGCTTTTAATAATGTTGTGTTCATACAATATATCAATTCATTTTTGGAGTTTCAAATGAATTGGAATTTGTAGGAAATTCTATATATGGTAATTTAAGCACCGAAAGGCGCAGTTTGGAAATGCAAGGACAGATGGGTATTTAATGATTATAGTGTTAAGAATCTTGTTTTGTAGGCTATTCAATCATAACCTTAAACAGGCTAGGGGGGGGAGATGTTTCGACGCCCCCCCCCTTTTTAGTTCTTTTTGCCCTATCACAATAAATAGCCGATAACTTTTTGTGACTAAAGGTACAGATCTAAAAACTACATTTTTAAAAAGCCCATGCAAAATGGACGTTGAAACATGTGTCGCATCTTAATATTTGTAAAAAACAAAAAATCTTTTTTTTAACATTTTTCCGACCCTTTTTTTGGCTTTTTTTCGAACCTTCCTAGCACCCTAACTATTAAGGTTAGCGGTCTAATCTTTTTTCAATGAGCTGGGCTTGAACATGCATTGCAATTTTATACCTTTACTCTGAGGCCTTTTTCTAGGCTTTACATACTAAACCCCCTTAAAATTTAGATAGATCTTAAAACATTGATTTATTAGTTTACACAACTAAAATTTTAAATAAGTTCGGCAAATCTAATAAAGTTTATACGAAAAAGAAAAAATATCAAAGATGGAATTATTTCATAATAAATTTACAATGACCTAAATTTAAAAAAAGAAAAAAAACTATCTTTTTAATTTTGGGAGAATTTGCTGTCTGAACTGAGGAAGATATAAAATTTAAATAATTTGACTGAACACCATAAAACACAATTGAAAACTATTAAGAAGAGGTAGAGAGGTTCAAAAGATGTCAGAGGGGGGGGTGGGAGTACTAATATTCTGGGAGGTGGGAGGTTTTTTATATTATTTTATGTTATAGTTTAGACTAGAGTCGGTTTATTTTTCAGTTTCTTTTACATTTTGTTAAACAATTTTATTTTTAGCTTGAAGTTTTAAAATATAAGGTACTGGGAGAATTTTATTATTTAAACCAGTCATTTAAGTTTGAATTTGATGTTTACATTTATTAGCAAATACATATTTTTTCCTCTAGGGAGGGTTGGGGGGGGGGGGTTATCTATACTATAAAAGGCCTGTAATTGTTTTTTTTTAATGCTGTATTTTCAGCTTGAATATAATGTTTAGCTTTTATGATTATGTTTTGAAAACTGGTCCTTTTTGCTTGAGTTTGATGCACCTTATAATAATATAGTTTGAGATAGGTAGACAGGAAATTTTCGTACGGAAACTATAAATATTATTGTAAACTATTTGTATGTGAGCAGAGACTTGCATCGTTTTTGTCAAAGAACGAAATATTTCAAAAGTGACAAAAAATGTTATATTGTTATTCTTAAGGACTGAAAGTAAATGAAATAGGTCGATAACGAACAATTTTAATGAACAAATAAAAAAAGTCGAAGACGCCCATCTCAAATGTGTCTGAACAACTTAACAAAGGGTTCATGTTGGTTTTAAATGATATTTGTGAGATGGAAGGAGATGTCGTCTTCAATTAGGTCAGCTTAGGATAAAAGGCAATTAATTTAAAAAAAGAATAAAATTAGCGTATATTATTAGTATAAAATTTGCAAAATTGTAATTAAAAAATTCACAATTTTCAGTTCTGGTATAATTTTTACGGAAAAATTGATTTTCATTGGTTCTCAAGGTTTCAACCATAGATAAATTACATTTTTGGCATTTTTTTTCTCCTTCCCAACGCCCAAATTATTAAAGTTATCGGTCTAATTTTTTTTCAATGAGCTGGCCTTGAAAAATTGGGCTATGAAAATGCATTATAACCCTATATCTATTCTATAAGGCCTTTTTCTAGGGGGAGGGTGGGACGCCCCCAGGCTATACATAGATTTAAACCCCCAGCCTTTATATTGTTAAAAATCTAAAGATATAGTGAATTAGAAACGACGTAAGAATAAGAAGTAAGAAAAAACTACGATGCACTGCACGGTACAACTATTTTATTAATTACATCACACTAATTATGAACCAAAGCGACGTAAAACGTTGCAATTTTTTGTCAATGATAAAAATGAAAACTTATTTTGTAGAAAATTTTTGTTTAATAAAACCTTATCTGAAATTTAACAAATATTTATAATCCATAGTAAATGACGTGAAATACAACTGCAAGGCATGTAAACCTTATCTGAAATTTAACAAATATTTATGATCCATAGTTATTGACGTGAAATACAAGACATATATAAACCTTATCGTTATTTCTAATTCAGTTTACATTCCAGTATATTAAAGATATAAGTCTGCATTGTTCAGTGAAACTTTAACTTACAACTTTTTTTAAAATTGTACAGTTGGAACAGTTAAACTTTGGAATATGAAGACGACATTTTACAAACTATAAAATCATATGTGCCTATACATCAAACCATTCTACCAGATAGCTTGAATATCAACTTATTAAGAGTCTGTCGTGTTAATTTTAAACGACCCTCCATAAAAAGTTGAGCATATTTGATTCGCAACGATACCATAAAAACCTAAATCTAGTCAATAATGTTTTTTTTTTTGGCTTGAAAGCGTTTAACTTTGATAGTATCTCAATTGTTTCGGAAGCAACAAAAAACTACTTTGAAAAAAAATAATTCGCCAAAACATGTATTACAAGAAATTGAGATGCTAAATAAGATCATACTTAGTAGTACATTAATTTTCTAAATAAAATTCATCTTCTTATACAAAAAGTAAACATGGAAGGCGTTTTATCTGAAGACAGTGTCAATGTTTTTTAGATTAAAATAACAAGTGTTTTTCTTGCAGAAATATGGATCTAAGATTGCAAAACAGTTTAACGATAAAGTTTTATCCCGTTTATATAAATTTCAGAGCCGTCAGTATAAGAAAGTTTGAATGATTTTGTGAAAACATAAACAGTTTTATTGTTTTTGAATTAATCAGCACATTTATTAAAATGTCGTCTTTTAAAAAGTTGCAGTTAGATATTAAAAGAAAAGCTCTGGCATTTCTTTTACATTAAATTTCTTTGTTTAAATTAAAATTAAGAACATGATCTATTTTAGTGATAATGAGTGAAATTAGGGACAAAGTACTTTATTCTAAGGTATTTTATTACGTAAAAAAGTATGTAAATACCCTTTTTAAATAAATCTTTTTTAGAAATACATATCAAGTTTAGTTATGTATGTAAAGAGTTTTTTTTTCTGGACATGGTTAAAGATCGTAATGTTGTGTCTGTTACGTCTCTTCAAGATGAACAGTGAAGACGGACAAGTTTATTTTGTTTTCCTTACAGAAATTTTCTTGTATTACTGCGTAGCGTACCGTATGCAATCAAAACATAAACAAACAAGTTCTAAACTCTAGCAGTTGTAAATCCTACAATTACAGCTTTCTCAGTGGGAATCACTTTACTAAATCAAAAATGATTTAAAAGAAGATCTCGAAAGCTGAGCGTAATTCCCATGTTTGTTATATAGGACACCCTGTAAACAGATGTAATAATGTAAATATTAATTTAGGAGCCTTACACCCTTGATCCTGGTCAAGAGAGGATTATATTTAAACTTCTTGATCTTATACAAGCAGAACTCAGGTTAATTTACTCATGATGCTTCTTGATCTTATACAAGCAGAACTCAGGCTAATTTACTCATGATACTTCTTGATCTTATACAAGCAAAGCTCAGATTAATTTACTCATGATGCTTCTTGATCTTATACAAGCAGAACTCAGGTTAATTTACTCATGATGCTTCTTGATCTTATACAAGCAAAGCTCAGATTAATTTACTCATGATGCTTCTTGATCTTATACAAGCAGAACTCAGGTTAATTTACTCATGATGCTTCTTGATCATATACAAGCAGAACTCAGGTTAATTTACTCATGATGCTTCTTGATCTTATACAAGCAGAACTCAGGTTAATTTACTCGTGACGCTTCTTGATCTTATAAAAGCAAAACTCAGGTTAAATTACTCATGATGCTTCTTGATCTGTAAAAAGCAAAACTCAGGTTAATTTACTCATGATGCTTCTTGATCTTATACAAGCAGAACTCAGGTTAATTTACTCCTGCTTCTTGATCTTATACAAGCAGAACTCATGTTAATTTAAGCATTCTTCTTGATCTCATACAAGCAGAACTCACTTTTTTTTTCTCTCAAATTTGTTCAAGGCATTTCAGATATTATTCCTGTTTGAAAAGTATTCCCCCCCATTATAAAGCAGGGAACAAATTGTAAATTTAAATCCTATTTTCAGAGAGACAGGGGATAGAGACTGGATTTTGGATTGTACCACAGAGAATAGTGTTAGGTAATATTAGATCATTGTTCTCTTTTTCAATTTTTAAAGAATTTAAATGAAAATATAATAAACAAAGGAAATGAGCTTTTGCCAAAAATTTTACACCATAGGTTGCAAAGATGGAATTAGATCATTTGAGTACTAATGTTAATTCAACGAGGTTTTAGTATATCAAGTAATGTTGTACGCTAATCCTTTACTAATTGTACTGGCCATGTTCTCCACTTTCAAAGGTCAACCTGTAAGTTACAGTACTTGGGGGATTTCTAAAAATCAATATTTTAATTGGTCCTCCATTTTATAAGAGTGGTATGTCAGATTAAGAACGGTTCTCTCAAATGTTAAACATTAATTCTATTTAATGTTTCTTGATAGTATTTTTTAAGACCCTAGGACAATTACAGGGTGATCCAAATGAACAGAATATTTTTAGAAAGCTTCAATTTTAAAATATTTTTAAATTTATTTGTTTTTAATTTGATTATTTCTCTTGCTGCTTGCGCAACTATCTAAGAATGTTGTGCACCACTCACATTTTTCGAAATCCGTTAAAAACATTTTCTAAAAAAGTAAATGTAAAAAAATTAATTTAATAATATTATAAAATATAAACTATATACAAATGTGGCAAAAGATAATCGATGACTATAGGTTGTTATATCTGAATGATTTGTTTGAAATTTAATTGATTTTTTTACGGTCTAAGTCGTATGTTGCAATATCCTCAATTTGTATGGGCGCTACGTTCTTTGTTATAAGATGTCTTTAACAATTTTCTCCTTATTGATAAAGCAGCAGTTCGAGAGAAAAAACTACATTATATGTTAAAGGATAGCATAGATTTCATAAAAGTATGCTATCCTTTAATATATAATGTAGTTTTTTCTCTCGAACTGCTGCTTTATCAATACTTGAATATAAATTTACCAGAAATTCAGACATGAAAAAACGAAAAAAAATATCTGTTAAAATTAAATTTCGACCTTATTGATTTATAATTGTATGTACATGATAACATCGTAAGAAAGTTTTGTGTTAAACCCATATTAACAATCTTTTAAACTATAATAACCATGATACGTGAATAAATATCTAGATTTTAAAATTTTCTCCTTATAGACGAAACAGATAGAAGTGATATTAGTAGCGATCAAAAGCGCTTTTTATCGCATTAAGCCATACCTCCTTTCCTTTTTCGCGAACACTCCATTTAACACAAAAATGTAAGCAAAATACTGAAATGGAAGGAAGGAAGAGGACTTTAAAATGTACTGCATATTTGATGTGTGTACTGCATGAATAGGCCATAATCTCGTAATATCCTAAATCAGTAAGCTGTCTTAATTGTACACTCAGGCTAATACACACAGTCAGGTAGCTAAGTTCCAGCCCCCCTGTGTTAATTTCTATAATTCTTGTGATTTGAACCCCCTGTAATGTGCTAGCTATAAGTCATCATTATGAGAATAAAATTAGTTATGAATTATTTGGGTTCTTAATTAAGATTAATTTAAACTTCTTATCAAGCTTTAAAGATAAATTTTACATCAACAGTTCAATTAATTTTACCCATTTAGAAGTTTACAGTTCAGAATGCATTTTTCTGGGTTTACTTATACAAGGAGGTATATTTGTATAAATTCTTCACTTTTACAGGATTTCCCACATTCTTGGGAGGAGTATAAAGGTGGCTAGTGGATTAACTAGGCTTGGATTTAAACCAGGAGATACATTACATGTAAGTTGAATTTGAGGTGCCGGAAACTTTTTTAAACACAGCTAATTTAAATGAAGTCTTAATATATTTTTACGGTCACATGGTTCAGTGTGAAAACTAATGGAATAGATAGAAAATGAACAATACTTTTGAGAATGAGCAAAATCAATTTTTTTAAATTGATTGAAAAAAAACCAAAGAAAATGAGTTGTTGACAAACGATGAACAAAGGAAATGAAAAAGGCCGAACGCACTTTACCCATAGAAATAGCCACAGGATAGCATGTTTAAAATTTTTAAATCTAAGACAGTTAACTTTTAATCTATGGATATTCTATTCATAGATTAAAAGTACAAACCTAAGAGATCTGAGGATCACATCTCATTATCTAAGCTTAGGGGGTGCTTGAAGGGTTGTACACATTTTCGCTATAGAGAACTTAGAAAACAATTAGGGGTCTTTGGTATAAAGAAAAAACTTTACTTGTTTACAATAAAGACCAATTATATTTTCTCAATTAAATCTGAAAATAGATTTTAACTTAAACAGTATTGCTGTCATGATTTGTTTTCTGAAACTCTTTTCCTGTTTTTCAGACTGCCTATTCTACCTGCCTTGATTTCTACTGGCCTATATTCGGAGCTTGGTTATGTGGGGGAGTGGTAATATCTACAAAATTCATTAATTTACTTAATTATTTCATTTCTCTATTTTGTTAGCAGAATTTGTTCCTTTATTGCTTTGAAAATTTGATTATTTTTGGATTCATGTAGGTGAGTGTAGGAGATCCTGGCTTATCAGCCTCCAATTTGAAATCACAAATACAGGTGCAGCAATTTAGTATTAAACGTTTTTACTTTCTTCATGATTCATCAAGCAAAATAAGTAACTTTTATGTAATCATAATATATTCTTTATATCAATTAACTTTGTTTTTCTAATTGTATTTTTTAATTAAATTAATTTGGTATTGATCTGATCTAATAATCAAGGACTTGTATAATGTTTTAATCAAATTTTAGAAATATATACAATAACATCTACATTTTCTAAATCAATTATTACTTGTAAGTTCATTGTCTAAAAAGAATTTAAAATTGTAAAATATATTTACTTAGATTTTCTTATTTTATTTATTAATTATTATTAATTTAAATTTAAATATTTAATTATTATTATTATTTTTTAATTACTAAGGACACACATGCAAAGATTATAGTCTGTGAAGTGGAGAGCTGTAGTAAGTTTCTAGAGGCAAATCAGGTTCAGTAGAAGTTATTTTTTATTAAATAAATAAATTAAATACAGAAGTACACTTGAAGTTTGGTTTCAGAGGGCAACATTGTTGATTTTCAATCATTTGACATTTCTTTAAGAGGTCAAGTTATCCTCATTTGTGCCAGATTCAATTGGCATCTAACCCTTCTATAATTGGATATGATCAGATGCTAATGCTATTTGTAAAGTTTTGTCCTCCGGAATAACATCAATTAACTAATGAAAATTAGTTAATTGATTTCATAAAAAAGCTAAAAATGATTTATATTTTATATTAATTGAACAGATAAAAATCTTCATAAAACTCTTCATAAATATCAATTACTGTTTTCATGGCCATGCAACCTAAGACACTGGATAATTCTTTTTTGTCTTGGCAATGCTAGACATAAAAAACTATCCACAAGCTTTAAAAGTTTTTCCCTCTGGATTGATACCTTTAACTTTTATAATTTATTTCTGACCATTTAAGTCCCTTCTAAGTGCAGAGCAAGCATCCAACATCCTTGTGCTTGATCTAGAACCATGGCAGCCTATTCCTGAAGGAACATCCAGCTTTCGGTAATTTATCTAAATTTTAACAGTTTTCCAATCTCTTGTATTGATTCATCAATCAATACTTGCCTCTTATTACAAATAAACAGTTTTATTAAAAAAAAATGCTTCTTTCAATTCCTCTTTGTCTATCTACTTGAATAGAATCAATATTAAAAAATTTTTAGGCGTAATGTGAATTTAAAGAATTCTAATATTAAAATTTCTTAATGTTGTTTTATTTTGGAAATTTAGTGTTCACCTTTTACAGGTCACTGTATGAGGACCAAGGAGATCAATGTCCTGATCGAGCATCTTTGCCAGGATACATTCCAAAGTAGGCACCATGTTTGTTTAATTTTCTTTAGTAGCTAAAGCCATTTATAGTTTATAATGTTTGAAACTGCGGCTAATAATCACCATTTACAGCTCATGATAATATCAAGGGAAGGTAAAGGATAATAACATAGTATGCAAATATTTCCTAAATTTCATTTAATATATTTCTGTGTTTTTTAAAGCCACTTTAAGCTAACCAATATTCCAAGCATCTTCTAAGTTTCCTTAAGTGTAATTGCTGAATCCCTCCTTAAGTAAACATTAATTCAGAGAACCGGTTGTTATACATTGGACTAGTGGAACAACAGGGTCTCCAAAGGGTGTTGTCATGTCTCAAGAATATCTTCATTTTCAGATGAGGTAATAGCAAGCAAACATCAAGAGTCCATTAGGATAGCAAATATTGAGTGGAGATGGTATATATTGGATATTTAAGAAAAAGTCCAAGTTCCACTAAAATTACGACTTATGATTTGATGACTTAATATGGTTTCATTTATCTGCTACACAACAAAATAGGACTGAGGCCTAAAACGATACCCTTATCAGATTGACTTAAATGTCACATTTATCTACCAGATAAGGTAATATTGACAGTTCAATTTCTGAGAACTTGGGTAATTTTTTTTTTTTAAAGCTTAAATACCGATAATTGATTTTCATTGGTAATAATATGAACCCGTTAAAGAATAAATGTTTATTTATATAATCATATTAGATTATCTTCAGACAGAGCAAGCTTCCTGAGAAAACTATTGGACTTGCATCAAATACCTTCTTCCATGCAGGATCTTTCCTCTTATCCCTTGATGGAGGGATCAGGAACAAATTTTCAATTCATTTCATCCAGGTAATATTTGAATTTGAAATTTTTTTTTTACAATTTCATTTTTTTATAATTTTATAAAACAGATAGATGTTGAAAACATGGTCCACACTTCACACTCCACATGGCTGTAGGAACTAGCAGTTTCCTCTTGTATCAACTGTCTATGTTTTGTCTTGTTTGGTATTAGAATTTCCTTCATTATTCGTCTTAGCTAAATGTAACAAGAAAATGAAATCCATCTTTTGATTCAAAATTCAATTTTATTAAAACAATTTGCGATAATTTTTTTATACGCCTGTTTTTAAAATGATCGTTTTACAAAACGTTCGTTTTTCAAAAAGATCGTTTTTATAAAATTCGTCGTTTTATTAACAGTTGTTAACGACGACCCTTTGTTAACAATCGTTAACGACGGAACTTTGTTAACGATCGTTAAGGACAACCCTTCGTTAACGATTGTTAACAACAACCTTTGTTAATGATCGTTAACAATGACCCTTCATTAACGATCGTTAATGACAACCCTTCGTTAAGGATCGTTAATGACGACCCCTTTGTTAATGATTGTTAACGAAGAGAGGAAACCGACCTGAAGGGCATCTGTACTTATCATTGAGTAGTTTTTAAGAAAATATCAAGAAGTTTTAACTCCCCCACAACTGTTAAACTTCGTGTAAGACGACATTCAATAAAGTTGCATGTAATTGTTTTCCAAAAACGACCGTTTTGATAAAGTTCGTCATTTTGTTAATGATCATTAACGACGACCTTTTGTTAACGATCGCTAATGACAACCCTTGTTAATTATTGTTAATGACGACCCTTCGTTAACGATTGTTAACATAATTTTCAATAAATTTTTTTTTTCAAAAACTATCGTTTTTTTAAAAACAGTCGTATAAAAAACGATCGCAAATCCTTTTAATAAAAACGATCGTTTTCAAAAACGATTCCTATTCGTTTTCTAAAAGTTCAAAACGAGTGGGTCGTTTTTAAAAATGATCGTTTTTTCCGAAAACGAAAGGATCGTTTTTAAAATTGAAACGATTGTTTACAAAAACTATTAACAACCCTAAATGCATGTCAAGGATATGAAGAAAGCAATCTCAGAAATCTAAAATTACTCTAGGTTAACTCTAGGAAATAAATTGTGGACCATTGAGTATTTTTTCCTAGACTTTTGAAATATTTTTTGAGTCATGCATTGTTTTAATGTTTTAGCCTAAGCATACAACTGTTGAGAGCATCTTCCGCTTCATTGAAAAATACAAACCTATGTTCTTCATGTGTGGGGCTAATGATTTTGTTCAGGTAAAAATGAGGAAAAACATCACAAATGTATTCCATATGGTTTTTTATTACTATTTATAACTCATTTTGTTTGTCTTGCAAGACAAATCCGAAATTCCAATTTAATGGAAAAAATGAAAATGATAAAATGTATCCGTATGATTTATCTAATTTAAATATATGTACACATTATTATCGTAATACAATTGTTTAGTACATGTTGATAGTTTTGTACAATTAATCTTGTAAACTATAATAACCATGATACGTAAATAAATATCTAGATTTTAAAAAACTATTTATAACTATCATTTTAGGACGCATAATAAGTTTTTGATATTTCTGTATAGCTTGCATCAAGTGACCTGGCCAAGTTTGACCTAAGCAGTGTGAATGTAATAATGCCTGCTGGAAACAAGATAGCTAAATCTGCTGCAACGAGAATGAAAGAAAAGTTCCCTAATCTCAAGTTTGTCTATCAGTTCTATGGAAGCACTGAGGTAAAAGGATTTTTATTGGACTGTAAAAATTTAACTAAAAAGTGATGAAGGGCGAATCTTGAGAAACCATGGCTTTTTGATTAGCTAAATCATGACTGTTGGGTATTTGAAATATAAAAAATATTTTGCCAGAAGAGCACAAAATAATGCAACCTCTTTAAAGCAGGATAAAAAACAACATTTTTTTCTTAAACAGTCAGTACTATTTTGGTGACAACTATGACACAGGGATTTTAAAAAGTAGGGTCTCAATAACAAGAAAGATTACCAAAAAGACTGGTTTCAATAACCTTCTGCTGAATTTGGATAGGTTGGGGGAGTAAGTGGTTCCTTTACAGTTGAGAACATGGGAGCTCTGAGGGAGGGTGTTCAGACATATATTAGAGATCAGAAAACAGGTATTTACATCTGAATATTAATATATATATTTATGTCGTTGTAAAACAAGTACTTTTTCGTACACATGACACCCATTTCAATAATATATATTGTTTTATTCAATTTTGCTCTACTTATTTTGTAGCTGCCATATAATGTTACTTTATCACCCTGCTGCAGGGGGGATAAAAAAACTTTATCTGTAACTCTCTCAATCACCTAATCAAGTTGATGATGCTTAGGGGAAAAGCTGGGAGTAGGAGAAGTAGGGGAAATAATGGCAAAAACCCCAACCATGATGATCCATTATCTGAATAGGTGAAAGGAATCTATGTTGCATCAACTGTATTTGCATTAAAATCAAAAGTCTAAAGAGAAAGGCCAAAAGTGTTAGATTTTCACAGCTGCATGAAAATTAGATTATAATCTGTCCAAACAATGGCAGACAAAAGAAGTGAATATCTGCCCCAATTCTAGTTTTCTAATTCATATTCATATTCATCAGACAAGATTTTAAAAATGAAGTTCTAAGGATCAAGACCATTAGGAATTAGACAAATACCAGTGATCAGCTGGTTTCCCTTGAAGTCCTAAATTCCGTGTTTAAATTGTAAATTTAAAATCTAGACAAGATGAAAGCAGAGAACTACTTGACGAAGAAGGATTTGCACACATGGGTGATCTAGGTTACTATGATGAAAATGGTATCCTGCATTACAAGTAAGAGCTTAAGCTTTTTGTTGATTTAGAAATAACAATACAAAATTAAGTTAAATGTTTAAAGAATTTTGTTTATGAAATGAAAATTTATACAAAAAACTATAACTAGCTTAAAAAATTACATTATTTGATCAATACAAAGTTATTTATACAATACATACATTAGCCTGTAAATCATGTCACAACCAAACAAAATAGTTTTATGACTTAACTCCATGATCTGCTTACTTTGAAAATAATTCAGTGACAGGCACTTCCTACATTAGTCTTCTCTTGATGTATTAATTGTTTGTTTGAACATAAATGTTAAACTTTGTTTTTAGAGAGAGGATAAAAGAAATGATAAAGATTGGAAACTATTGGATTGGACCTGCAGAGTTTGAAGATAATCTTGAAAATATACCAGGTTTCCACCTCAAGCCTGATACTAGCCAAAAATTTGATAATATCTTTTTTATAATCTGGAATGCTTAAGATTGCGATTAAGTCAAGTTCAACCTTTTTGCCCTGAATTGGGTTTAACAGCACTATTCTATATAATAAAACAAGACATTGGTATATATGTTCGCTATAGCCGGCCAAATGGCTGGAACAAATGGGCTGACATTTTGAGGGAACCCATCAAAATATTTTTTTTCAAATTCCTCGGGCAACACCGGGCCCTTCAGCTACAGGGTGTCCCAATAAACATGGGAATTCAGTGACAAATTCGATATTATCTTTTTAAATAATTCTTTGATTTAGTATTGTGATACCTACTGAGAAAGCTGTAATCTGTAAAAGTTTTGTCTGCTATGTTCACATTTTGTTTGTTTATGTTTAGACCACATACGGTTGTACATAGTAAAACAAGAAAATTGCAGTATTAAAACAGAGCAAACTTGTCTGTCTTCACTGTTCATTTTGCGGAGACATTATAGACACATCTTTACAGTCTTTTACCCTTTTCATAAAATAAAAATAAACTCTCGCAGACATAATAATATTATGGCTTTTGAAATTAGGTATTACAATGCTAATTTAAAACAAAGACGATATCCAATTTGTCACTGAATTCCCATGTTTTTTGGGACACCCTGTAGTATCTGATATAAGTGAAAGTGAAAATTAGAGTTTTTTGTGATAAAGAAAAATTAATAATACAAATTCTAAATAAGTCTTTCTTTATCAAACATTTGATATAGGTGTAGTGGAAGCTGTTGTCTGGCAGTCGATGAATAAAGAAACAGACAACTACTACATTCATGTAATTTTTAGTTCATAATGTAATTATCAGTTACTGATTATCTTTATATAAACCAATAACACTGGTCACTCTGCTCATACAATTAAATATGATAAATATGATAAATATAAAGTTTTTTCTGAAGTGTAAACAGTGGAGTGGATTTGTTTGGATTGCTTTAGAAAACAATTCTAAGTGCATATATCGAATCCTTGTGACAATTTGGTCATTCCTTTCAGGGTGCAGTAACTCTACAAGCATCTAGTGGTCTCAACCCTGAGAAGATACTGGAACTAGCAAACAAGGATGTAGAAGTAAAACGTAGAATAGATGGAACTATTCATATTATAAATAACATGCCTCACAACCCACAGGTTAAACTATAATCTCTCAAACTATATATTTATTCATATTTTTGACTGAATTATTGGTACAATTTATGTTTGAAGTTATTTAACGTCCCTTGGGAAAATCAAGTAAAATAACAACCTGCTCTGTCAATTTTTTGTTAAAAAATTCCCACATTTGCATCTCAAAAGACTATAAATTGCATAAAACTACTTTTATCGGGAAATTAAAAATTATACAATCAATTTTGCATACAAAACTTCTCGCTGTGCTCTGGATGTTTTGTAGGCAAAATTGGTCTTGGGAAACCTTGGTAAAGTAATATTCTCTGTAAAGTAGTTGTAAATAATTAAAATTTTAATGATTTCTAGGGGAAAAAGCTGAGAAGAACAGTTCGCCAAATGTTTGAGTAATTGCATGAAAACATTATTGTGACACATTATGAAATAAACTGTTTTAAGCATTAAACAAATTTGTAAGCATTGATGAAAATGGTGTAACACTTAGTGTTGTATACTTTCTTAGACTTAAGCAAGTGTTCTTATTTAGCATTAATAGAAGCCAGGGAAGTATCTTGATTTGAATTTGAAGTTGATGCCCAATTTTAGAATTTGAAATAGATTTTATCTCAAGGAAAATTCAAAATAACTATCTGCAAATGATATCTAACTATTGGTTAACCTTGGACTAGGGATGGGCATTATTTTTACAAACCAAGGTTGGGGGGGGGGGGCGTTTCTAGAAAAAGGCCTTAGAGAATAGGCATAGGGTTAAAATACATGTTCAATGTTCAAAGCCCAATTCTTTAAGGCCAGCTCATTAAAAAAAATTAGATCAATAACTTTTATAGTTTGGGTGCAATATTTCAAAAAAATGCCATAAAAAAGGTTAAAAAAAAGTAATAAATATTTTTTTTTTTTAAACAAATATCAACGTGTGACACATGTTTCTACATTTATTTGTCAAGGGCGTTTTAAAAATATAGTCTTTAATCTGTACCTTTAGTTGTAAAAAAGTTACGGGCTATTTTAGATTTTTTTTACACAGACCAGACTTTTCCCTGCCCTGTACTCTACCCTATGCATAAAAAAATAATAAATAAATTACAAAAAATCCTTTAAATTTCTTTTTATTAAAAGTCAAAAAATGTCATGGAGATAGTGTCAAAAATGAGAGTGTTAGGACAAAAACTAAAGGGCGCCAAACGACCCCTCCCCCAGCCTGCTTAGGGTTAAGTAAACTAGTTTTTACTGAAAAAAGGATCAAAATCAACAGACTGAAAAGTTTAAAGGTAAGATTTACCTTTGTATGTAAGTATGTTTAAATACTGATAATTTATTAACAGAAATTTACAGAAATTTTAAAGATGCATAAGATAAGAAAAATACAAATTAGCATCATTATCATCCTTACATTCAAGCCATGATCAAGCATTCAACAATACCAATTGAATTAGCATCTTGTTGTAAAGTCCTCCAGTGCACTATAAAAAATGTATCATTAATTTCTTTTTTATCAAAATAAAGTAAATCCATTAAACCTGTTTTTGTGAGAGGATGTTGGAGATAATTTGGTTCGTTTGATTTGGTCAGTTTTGAGCTTCTTCTCTTGGGTGGGATTACTGCAAATATTTGACAATTAATCTTTTTCTTCACAATTTCTATTCGCTGTCAGTTCATATAGAGATTTTAAAATCAAAACGTTCGCTCCCCTCTGTGTTCATCAAGTAGTTGTTTGTTTTTACCTGAGAACTGAACAAAAAGTGAACAACAAAGTTGGTGTTCATAACAATATAATTTTTTTAAATTAATATTTCTCCATACTTTCCAATTCAAACCATGAATAGAAATGAAATTTACCATTATATTTTAAAAGTGTTCATTTATTATTTCTTTTATTATCTGTAAGTTTTTTCATGAACTGTAAATTTTTTTTTTGCAAATTAAAAATTAAAGGGTTTTTGTTCCTAAACACACTTTTCTGTTAATTTTCAAACACTGTTAGCCAGAAGAAAGGGGACACATCTGTGTATTTTGTTTGATTTTACAAATGATACATTTTTAAAGACTTGTAAGCTCTACTTAAAAAAAACCTTAGTTTCTGTAGCAATGTGATTGTGAGCAAATAAATTGTGCCATAAAGTTCCCTTTTTTATATATTACATGTTTTTACTTGATTGTATAAACTCTCTTTACATCTGCTGATGAACTTGAAGAACTGGACATTTCTCCATCAGATTCAGAATTATGAATAGAATCATAAACATTGTAAACATGAATAGTATCATTAGCATGATCAACTGTATCACTTGAAAGTGCAAGATGTGGTTGAGGATGAATTGAAGATCTAAAATCATTTGGTTCTTCCTCTTTTCTTTTCATCTCTTCTGTAGTCTGAAACAAAATCATTGAGAAACAAAAAGAAATTCTTTCATTTCATTTCCATAAGTCCACAGTGGATTGAAAAAAAAATATTTCTTTTGGAATAAATTCTTAGGTTCACTATTTTTGTTGGCCTTTTCAGTCTGAAAAACATACTGCATTATGCTTTAGATATTAATGGGTATCCTTGGTCTAATATTTTTATAATATTAAAGATTATCTGTCAGATATCCATCCATTTGAAGTACAATATTTTGTATCTGTGATTTTGTTATGCACTTTATGCTCTTTAATGTGCTGGCTTACCCAATATAATGTTTTTGAAAAACAATTTTGATTAAATTTTCATTTTAGTGCTATTAAGGTGCTCACTGGGGCTGGTGGAACGATCGTTCTTTCCCGGAAACGAACGGAACGATCCCATCGTTCCGAAAAAAAAACGAACGCTTAGAAAGCGTTCTTAAAAATATTGGAACGATTAGTAAAAGAACGGAACGGAACGGGAATTGCTTGAAAAG